GCGGCTCGTTGACCCCGCCGCAATGCTCGGACTCGCATCGTCCTTCGACAAAATTGATTTACCGCCTAACCACAAACCAACTCGCGTTTGCCGCTCGGTTAAGAATGCGCCACCATCTCTAACCTCCTTTTTTCTTCCTTCTGCTTGTCGCTTTTCTGTCGTTTTTATCCGATTCGCTCGCCTGCCGACCGTTCTTCTTCTGCAATGCGTCAACGGACCCGCCGCACGCAATACGCGTCGGATTTAGATCTTCAGATTACTTTATCCTAAAATCGATGAAAAGGTTAGCTGAATATCATTGTTGGTGTCGTGTGTTCTTCTTTGCTTTTTAATGATCGTTTCGTGACTAAATTAATTGGTTCGTCATGAAACGAGTAATAATTTATAAACGTTGACGTAAGTAGGATTTGGTTGGGGTGGGTCAGATCACTTTGCTTTAATAATAGCACCGACGTTACCAAATATAACTAGCTTTTGACAATTTCAATATTTACAATTTGTAACTTCCCTCATATCTACATTATTAATAATAATACGAAGTATATTATACCTCCACAACGTAAGAAGAACCAATTCACATTTTGAAAAGGGGTCAAGGCATATCTGATCTCCACTCATGTAGCCAATGTTCGTAATGTATGTAAACCTATAAAAAAAGAGTATTTTGAGTATACCTAAACACCGATTTATGTTGCTGATGTAGTAAAAGGCATGAGAATGATGCACGTATGTATTCAAAGAAGCCTTTTGATGCCAAAACAAGGTTACATCAGTATTTTACAATGAAACTCAACCGAATAGACAGAAAATAATGTTCAGCTATTTTTAGTCTGAACACTTTGTACTCTGATGTACAATTTTCTTCCTGTTTCCATGCTTTACAATTTTAAAGATTAATTATTCTTGCGAAGGAAGTTAATCGTATTCCATCTTTAAACAATATATTTGACCCTAGAGGTCCAAATATTGGATGTCACAGTGAGTAATAGTCTGTAAAAATAAATTTGAGTTTGAGACAGGAAGCAGCAATGAAGGAATAATTCGTTTGTTTTCTCTGCGTTGCACCCTCGTCAGCGAGAGAAACGCAATTACCGTCGCATCGTTCGCGCCTCTTTAAGTCATTAATTCAAGAGCTCGTCACCAGGTCGTTCTGTAATTTTTCTTTGCCATAAATGATGAGCCACTAACATTATCTGGCATCTATGAGATAAACGAAGCAGCATCCTCGACTGTCGAATGCTTCTCAAACTGTTGACTTTAATCACCTCTCTGTATGATCATTTTCCTCCTCAAGCTTAATCCGATTGTTGAGTTTCATTCAAAGCTGATGTATAATATTCCAAGTGTTTCTCCTCGTGAATGCATTGGGATCACAGTTAACTGGCGTTGCCCTAGAAAATTAAATGAACGAAAATTAGAGCACGTTACAGTATGAGCTTAATATACATTGTATCAATTTACCGTCGGCCCTCTCAAGATTCCAGGTATTTGTGCAAGAAATAAAATTGGAATGAATATTCGATTACGTGGTTAAAGATAATTGAAGGATCGGTTGCTCGAATAGCGGTTTTTTTCAATACAGAGAACAGCGAAACCACTTGTTCGTAAGATACCAAGATGGCCGTAGATTTCAATCCACATTGATTGCAAGAATATATCGGATCAAATAACCAATTCTAGGTCAGGTTTGACATCGATGCTGCACGTTTAACGATCATACGATAAGTTCAAGTGCAGCGTCATAGAACATGGTCCTTTTTTTCTGAATCGTTGATTATTTCCAATCGATGGATAATTTAAAGTAAATAGTGACCATCTCGTGGTACCACGTAATCGTAAAGTGTCAGGAATCAATAAGACCTTGTACACGAAGTTGACAATTACTGTGGAACGATGACTACGGACAACAAAGATTCGCATTCAATATTGACATTGCAAGCAATAATCCGAAAATTACTATTGGTAGTAATAGGTCTAGATTAACAAATTTTTTGCGGACACCCTGCATGTATGTTATCCTTAAAAACAATATTAACTAAATGTGTTAACACGTTGACTGACAGTCAAGCATAGTGCAACGATATATAACTATTATTAACGTGTCGAGTGTCACAGTGAAAAGTCATATGACAAGATATAATTAAACAAACAATTGAGAAACTTTTGACATTCATCATTGTTACTACTGAGAGTAAACGAGTGTGTACACCATAGATAAAATTGCATACTTAATTGTGACTATTATGATAATAACACTTCAATCTTATCGTCCAATTATATTAAACTTGCGGCAATCGGTGTTAGTAATATACATACAATTACATAAGCAATCATCCGTCTACCGGTCATGCCGCTTATCGATTCAACAAGCATTTAACTTTAATTTTTCCTATGGATGGAAAAAGTTTCTTAAAAACTTTCTAAAACGCAAGGCTAAATAGCCACTCTACTTCTAACAAAATTATTATTGCAAAATTATTCTAAACCTTCAAATGGTAGTATCTTTTTCATCTATAACACCTTTATCTTTAGGGAAGCCTAGCATACTCTATACCGCATTCATTTCAATAGATTCTTATAGCACAACTGGACCTAGCCAGGATCTCAACTAGTTACACCAACGTCAGCACAATTTATGAGGTGTCTGAAATTTTTTTGCTGACGCGGTAGTACGTCAGCCAAAGATTCATATTATATCTTTGTCCTCATCGATCGATTTGGCCATGCCGATTGATACGCGAATTCTTATTGTTGGAACAGATTCATTCACAGACCTCTTCCAAGAATGCGGCGCTATGTATCGAGCGACGAAGGTTTGGCTTTCACGTAGTGACTCACTGATTGTTCTGCATACACCTATAGTCGTTGTCACCTAGCCTAGCACCGGTTATCGACGTGTCTGTTTGAAATACGGCTTTATATAGCGTTCAACAGCTATAATGTCGTGCAACTGCCTCGCCTATCCATCTCTCGGTTGGTTTAATAATAATCATTAAAACAATGGGTGCAGTCCTTTTAAACTCTTGCAAATATGTTTGATGGAATCTGAAAAGTTATTAAAATATCTTAATTGATCTTACACGATGAATATATTATATTTCAGGGTTCTTAATATTAGTCACAAGATTCTGTTAAAAAATGTTCATACTTTGACTAGGTGCATTTGATCGAAAAATTTCAAAGCATCTTTACTGGCTCGAACTGTCGTGGAGTGTCCAAGCTTCTCGATATAAATAGACAGCGGTAAGTTTCTGCGAAAATTGGTACAATCCTGTGCAATCGAAGTTCAGCTAAAAGCGTCCAATCTGGGCGACAGTGGTCTCATCTCATGGTTAAAGCTGGTCATGAACGGACTAGGTTTGTGTCCATGCCTTCGTTCAGGGTTAAGGTGATACAGAGGTTGAGGTTGAAGTTGCGAAGGTTCGATACTAAATATAGAGAAGGCGCTTACGGGGTCAAATCAATAGGCATTCTGCGTATACATGTACATATGTATGTATACATATGTACAATGCCTGAACGACTGCACGTCGCGCGTTAAGCTTAAAATACTTGTCCCTACGTGATCATCCAGAAACATCTCCTTTTCATGTCTGTGCTCCGTTATTTACTTTTGATTTGCATATCGGCGTTGGCGTAATTAAGACTTTCTGAGGCTCTTTTAGCTTGACTAACAGTGTCAATGTCCTGCTCTAAGAATGATTAAGTCTTCAGCGATTTGAACATGTAAGAATTGGCTATGTCTTAAGCTGGATGTATCTTCACCTGTAAAATTTCAACACCTGTATCCTGATGATATCAAAAGTCCTTGTATTTGTATCGATAAACCTCATTTACCAAGACCGCGATAGTAAATTAAATAGATGCAAAATCGAACGCATTCGCTGCATAAAATATATCACAAAATTCCATCGGTCACGCGATGCGACTCCCGATTAGTCCTTCATGTAAATACATATGCCTCCCCGAGTATCAAAGTGATTTTTTCCTAACCTCTATTCTCACAATGATTAAATCGTTTCTACAATTCTGCCAAGGGCATCGCGTGCATGCTCTGTCGTGAATCACACATGCACTAGTATGCGAATTTGGTCAGTTCCAGGATCGTAGAACGAGCCGATAGCCGAGATCCGTGCACATCATAGTTCACGGTGAAGATCGGATGTGGTGGACGTGCCGTTTAGCTGGAGCAACGACAGTGTCAGCATCGGAGGTAGCCGCGTGTACAGACGAGCTGGCACGTGAAAGGGCATATTGGATGAACAGGGGAGATTGTCGGTGATGGACAATGAGCAGCCGCATCAGGAACTGGTCAAGTGCGTGGTCGTGGGCGACACAGCAGTTGGAAAGACCAGACTGATCTGCGCGAGAGCTTGCAACAAACACGTGTCACTCTCGCAACTGTTGACGACTCACGTGCCCACCGTCTGGGCCATCGACCAGTACAGAATCTACAAGGACGTAAGTTTTTTTTCTTCGAGAGAATCTAAGTGCACTGTTCTAATCGCATGGGGATCTAGAGTCTAATCTACCTGAATAAAATAATATCTTTCAGGTCTTAGAGCGATCCTGGGAGGTGGTCGACAACGTGAACGTATCCCTGCGCTTATGGGACACGTTTGGCGACCACGAGAAGGACCGCCGTTTCGCGTACGGCAGGTAATACGTAATCTCTTCTTCGATCTTCACGCAACCGAGATTTCTTCGACAAGATGAAACGTTCGACTCTCTCGCTATAGATCAGACGTCGTGCTACTATGTTTCTCCATAACGAATCCCGTTTCCCTGCGGAACTGCAAAGCGATGTGGTATCCGGAAATACGAAGATTCTGCCCACAGACACCGGTGTTGCTGGTGGGATGCAAGAACGACCTGCGCTACATGTATCGAGATGAAACTTATCTCAGCTATTTTCGAGATCGCAGTCCATTCGTGAGGTACGTTATTCATCGCTTTTCTTCCGGGTTCAGAAGCAACATTTCAGATTGATTTTTTCATCCTATATGATAGCTCGTTCAAATGCATCGATGCTTCTTCAACGATGGCCTCTTTGGCAAACTGTGTCAAAGTATTGATTTCGCGGGCTCCGCAGGCCTTTCCGATCGGTCACTACTTTTCCTCCACTTATCAGATGAAAATTTCCCCTTTTGAGAACGTAATCGATGCAATGAACGACATTTCGAATGTCTTTAACATGGCGATATCAAATTCCCGTTGGGTAGCAACATTAAAAAGCCAGATTAATAGAACCTTGACATATGGCAAAGGACTCTCGAGGGAACCTCAAAGTTCAGCGTGACTTTCAAGACTTCTCTTTTGTTTCTGTTGCGCGAAGATGACATGCTGACATCCGGAAGGAGTTCATGTCTGATTGGTCATAATAAAATCTTTCTCTTTTGTGAAACTCTTACGAAGACAGGACATGAGTATTATGATTAGACTGTAGAGCTTTAGAATTCTAAGAAAATTTAAAGAGTGAGCTCGGATAAATTTAGGGAGCAGATTACCCACCGATATCCATAATTCTTTTATCTCGATATTCTTAGGGCAACGAGGAAAAGCGATCTCGTGATGCCCGATCAGGCCCGCGCCGTTGCGCGTGAACTTGGCGTTTGCTATTACGAGACTAGCGTCTTCACGTATTACGGTGTCAACGAAGTCTTCGAGAACTCGATCCGTGCTGCTCTGATCGCTCGTCGTCAACAACGATTTTGGATGACGAATTTGAAAAGAGTGCAAAGACCTTTGCTCCAAGTATATTTAAAAGATATCTGAAAGTTTCATAATTAGCTAACTTGATTAGACCACAAATTAAAGGAAACATTCATGATTGTACCTAGGCACCGTTCTGCCCACCGAAACCAGTCCCACCGGAAGTATGTCTCGCGGCAAGTACCTACGAAGAAAACATGAGGACGTTATGGACGAAGCCAGTTCACACCGATGTAACCTTGATAGCTGGGAACTGCACGTTCTCGGCTCATCGGTGTCTGCTGGCCGCTGCATCGCCTGCGTTCCATCGACTCTTCTCCATGGAACTTATCCAGGAACAAACACCTAGAAGTTCCAGTGAATCTAGCATGGTAAAGACAATTAGATTTAGAATTTGTACTTTTGTTACTTTTATAATATCTGTCCTATGTTATTAAGGTAAGTACATTCGGAGAAGCAACGGTTGGCGATTTCAACGATGACACCGAGTGCCTGATACGTATCGATCAATCAAAACCCACAAAGTAAGTTTATCCGACAAATCAGTTTCGTATCTAATTCTTCTAAATCCCGGTATGATGCAACCGACAATTCTGAACAAATGTTGCAGAGTTTGGGAACAACTCAAACGACGTTCGAGCTTCCAAGTACTGCCCACGATGGATACCCAAAGGAAGTCGACTGGTGCAACCAGGGAACTCAATCATCCTGCCTTTCAGAATATCCGTGTGTGCCTGGTAAGTACCTGCAACATCAATGAACACTCTTTATATTTCTTCTTCTGATCTTGTTTCTTGGTTTTATTAATTGAATCATAGACGGAGAATACAAACGGAATGCAACAACCAACGACAATGGTGACACTGTCCAAGCTAATCACGCCGCAAGCAATGCAGCAATGCTTGCAGTTCATATACACGGGCAGCTTGGATAAACGGTATCACGATCTACAAGTACGTTGCGTCGGTAGATTTACTATGTGGCCAGCAGGTACACCCGTCCAGCACTCTCGTGAAGTCTTATTGTTTTTTTCAATTGGCGTAACAGGTTGCGTACGCCGATTTCGCGCATTTACTTATTGCAAGTGTAGTTACGGTATGAGCAAACGAATAAAGAGAGCAAGTTCAATAATTGTGTCGACAGGTTACGTCAGTTCTATCGAACTAGGAATCTTGGCTGCAGAGAGCTTCTTAAATCCGAGATCTTGTTATAATCAATGTACTTTCTTTAAACAATGAGTTTAAGCGATACTATCAGTGCGGTATACGGTAACTAACGCGGCTCTATTCTTTCAGACAGCTCCTATCGGGCTTCTACTGGTTAGTACAATGTGAGATACGTTTGCTGACACCAGCACACACCGTACACACATGTAACAAATACATACACACATACATACACACAGTGATACCTACATCTGGGTGCAACGTAGGCTTCCTTTGGATAAAAACTATTGTAGAAGAAAGAGCGTCTTATTTGGAAGATTAATCTTAAACCTTTCTGTTCTGTTTCCAAGTCTCTAAGCTTCTCAATTTTTAATCTTCCAAATTTCTAAATTTATCCAATTTTTAAATTGGGTCCTCTTTTTCCTACATCACTACTTTATCTAGGGGAACTTGCCGTGCTCTCCAGTACACCACACGCACGCATCAAGTAGAGCCATTTAGCTTTAAACTGTACATCAATTCTCAGAAGATTGATCAGTTAGGCCATTGTCACGATTATTGTTATTTTAGCATGTCCTCTTATCCATTAATCGATCAAAACATAATAGAAGAGAACAATACAGGCAAAGGACGTATCTGTAGAATCTCATGCAATGAATATATCGAACATTCGTAATGATCATGGGTGCATGGATTATTGTCCACACGGTTCAACGATTCATATCAGTCATTTCATATCCATCTTGCGTGACAAAGGGTCACCCGTTGATGGTGCACTTTTCTCGCTCGCAGGAAATCAGACAAGCGGCGGAATTCTTGGAACTTCCACAATTGCTGATGGTACTTGGAAGTATTCAGACAAGAGATCAGTTCAACAGTGACCTTAACTATCGGTACAAGCAAGTGGTGAGACAAAGACTTGAAGACATTTGCTTGGAGCAAGGTAAAACGTTAAATAAGATAAATCATTAACGATTTGGTTGATTGATTTGGTTGATCGTTCCAGGACTCTTTGCCGATGTAGTGTTCGAATTGGACGATGGAAGTGTACCGGCTCACAAAGCGATTCTCACTGCCCGATGTGACGTGATGAAGGCGATGTTCTCTGGCGATTTTCGTGAAAGTAGCGCAAAAGTTGTAAGTCTTGCTCGCTACAGTCTCATCCTATTACATCCTGGAAATTATAATAAAATTCAAATAATAGATAGTGTTTCCTGGAGTACGCGAGTACACATTCCACAAACTGCTCTGCTACCTCTACACAGACGAGGTCCCAGCAATTTCCTCCGGTAGGTGTTTGAATCTACTCGAACTAGCCAACCGACTCTGTCTGCAACGACTAGTTAACTTAGTCGAGAGCAGAGTGATAGAAGATCTTGAGAGGCTATCGCAGAACGATGGGAACGAGGCTGTGGAGAACTGTCTGAGGTTGCTGGAGCCGTGCAAGGTCAGCCTTCGATCATCTATAAATCGATCAATAACCGATGAATCCAATAATTATCAATTTATTCGCGCGTCGTAGTTGCACAACGCCGATCAACTCGCAGATTGGTGTATGAACCATCTTTGCGTAAATTACAACAAATTGTGCAAGATGTCCCCGCGAAGCGTTCGCCTCCTTCATCCGGAGAATCAAGAATATCTGAACGAACATCGATGGCCTCCAGTTTGGTATGCGTCAGCGAATCTAGTTTGTTAATTGAGAATCTGAAAATTATTTTTTTTACGATAGGTATTTGAAGGATTACGATTATTATCAAAAATGTCTGGCGGAAAGGGACCGCGAAAACAAACCGACCTTGAAAAGGAATCGTAATCAGTCCGGCTGTCTGTGCTTCTCCGGCTCCAGTAAAACTAGAAGAGAAGGTTCCACTAATGGCAGCGCTACGGCATCGTCAGCGAACAATGATCCACAAGCGGAACGACCTCTCTTCGACTCGTCGATAGAATCTGGTGAACAGGTCGTATGACAAGAGCCAAGCGGCATACGCCGCTCCATCAGATTCATTCTGGTCCTACCCGTGCTCATGGTCTTCATATGCACCATTTTTACTATTTTGATACTGCTACAGATTTATACTTAAGGAACGGTAAACGCGGACAAGGTGACCCATGCACATACCAAGTATACGTCTACTACTAAAATGTACCATGAAACCTATTTGTATTCTTGGATGCAATGTAGGTTTCCTTTGGATAAGAACCCGTCTAAGGGGAGGAGTGCTCCACCGTTTATCTCTGATTTTAAAAAACTTCTAAGTTTTCGATCTTTTAAACTTCCAAATTTGAGAACTTTCTAAATCTGCGAATTAACTAATCTGAAACTAGCAGATAGTATGGGCTCTTTCCCACATATTCCTGCACCCATACTCCCTATACTTGAAACGGGCTATTTTTGTCGGACGCATTCAGGGTGAATCGTCTCTCCCTGACGTACATTTCTTTTTCTTCCCTGAAAAAGTACGCTCGATTAGAGCATAGATTTTTTAGGAGTGTACGATGCAAACTTCTCGCTAACTCGGTACGGCCATATTTTTTTCTACACAAATAGTTCCAACGAAAGTTATTCGAACATTGCGCTATCGTCAAACGAACGTATTGAAAACGTTGTCGAGCTGCTATAATCCTTTTAAAGTAACTTCCTAACGGACGTCCATCGTTTCTAAACAAACCAACCAAAAATACAAGCTGGTGCCTTTCGTTGATAACTCGTCGTTACCACTACAAGCGTAACATTGACCATCTGGAAAAGATTCGAACATCTTTTTATCGTGTGTAACACAATCTAGATCGCAAAGACGAGTTACGGCGCGGATTTCGACGATGTGGTTTCTTCGGGATACCTTGCGTTTGATTGTCCGTTGAATGAGCACGTCATATTTCTCTACGGAGAACAGGAATACTTTGAATTGTTCGTCTACTTTGATCACGTGAACGGTCATTTTTATATGCAGGTTACTTTGGTTACTGTTCAGGATACCGAAGCTTTCAGAACAATTAACCGTTTTGATAATTATCGTTGTTGACTTCTGCCTTTAATTATGATTTTGCAAGCTATTATACGATGCAACAAAAACGTGACGAAACGTTGAAATCAGGACAAGTCACCGAAACATTTTCAACAGACGATAACGATCGGCGTACTTCTATCGATGCGTGTTAGACTGAAGAAAACGAGCAATAGCTTTAGTACATAGTGAAGCGTAAAATATTAAGCGATACGTATAGTTATATAAGAAGATAAAACAGCGTACATGAACCTCTCGAATCGTAAACTATTAACTATTACACAAAATAAACGCGAATTTTTACATCGTTTGTACGATACTCGGCGACAAGATTCTTGTTCCATCTTCTTTAGTTCTTCTCCGACGAGCAAGGTTACAGTTTCTTCGAATCGTTAGAAGACTTGTCGTATTTGTACCGTTTTTCTAATCATCTATGGTTAAGCGAATTGTCCTCGTCGATCGTCGATTTACCTTTTAACCGGAAGGGGAACGTGCAGTTCAATCGACGCAGGTTAAGATCGTCCAATAATAACTGCAACATATCGATCACGGTAATGGGTTACTGCTAGAATTACTATTTGCGACTATGTCGGTAAGAATAATTAATAAATAGGTAACGAGAGAGCGGGAGAGAATCGATTATGTTTGTAAGAAGTGTACGTCGGTGATGGGCAGATCAAGTGCCCGCTGGGATGTTATGGACATCAGTGCATACAGTTATAACTGAGAACTTGTTCTCGGACACATTTGTCTATCACTGATGTACACTGCGTGCATTTAACGTTCATAGGGTATAGAACGAAGTTATATCATATTTCCATGTAAGAGCGAATCCTTGCGTACCTTCTATATTTTCTGGACAATTTCATACTTTTTAAATGCACAAATTATTGGTCCTCGTGCGTCGAAGAAGCGTAACCTTCGTAGGGTCATTATGATGATCGGTTGAACGTAAAACTACCTATAATATTAGCGGTTGGTATTATAGGACTTGATATTCGTTAGTAGTCCGTCATCACAAATACCGTTGTTCAATTCATTCCGTACATTGTTGTATGTTAAAAGTGTATTTGGAAGATCGAACGAATGAAACGAATCGAGAGAAAAGAATGAAGAGAGAAAGAACACGCGGAGAATAATTGAACTATATAAACGACGTATGTGTTTTGCCATCCACAATTTTAGATTTTGTATTTTATGTATACGAAGAACATTCGTTTCTCAAGAGCTTTTAAATAATTTTGAGCCGTTTCAAATGTTATTCGAATTGCACGACGTATCGTCGAATTGAAAGTAATTCGATCGTTACGTTTGCATACTTACGCGTGAAATAATTGACAACAAAATAAACGCATACTGTCACAAAAGCGTTACTGCCCAATTTGCAGGAAATTCTGTAATGAAAACGACGTATGCCAAGAGAGTGTTTGTTCCGGCGAGGGTAAGAATAACGTCCCACTTGTACGCTACGTCAATTTCAATGTCAATGTTATCTTTCATCGCTCTTAAATGTATATTTTATACTGAAATTGGTAATCGTAGAATTAAGGGTACTGTCGCATGTACGGTTGCAAATATGGAACGATAAAAGGCATCAATTTTCGGGCGTATTTTAATCACAGTTATCTTCATGACGCATAAAAGAGATCGAATTGAAAATTTATTCAGGGTATTTGCGAGCGCTTGCAGCTCAAATCTATAAACATAAATAGTTTATAATTGGTATTACCTTTGTCATATAAATAGCTTAAATTCATAGAGATAATACTTACAGTTATATTTAAAAAATTCTTTTGCTTCCATTCATGGTATTTGGATCCATTTTGTTTCAATTTTAATTGAATTTTCAAATTTTCCCGCGCTCGCAAAACCGTTGAACCTAACCCCTTAAAGTATTGTTGCGACATCTATTTCGTAACAAAAATCAAATCGATCAAATTAATTGATCGTTATCAATTTGGTCGTATACTAAAATTTAAGCATGAACATCAATTAATAAATAATGAAATTACTTGAATATTTTATGCTACAAAATTTAGCACAGAGAAATGAATTTTCATTTCTTCATAGGTAACATTTATTAATTGATATTAAGTTGCGTAGGCACTTTATCATTCGAATTTATAATTGTTTCATTGTTTAATTCTTTTGTTGCTTTAATGAACTTACGATTGTAAGCAGTTTTCTATTCTGCGTATTTGCAAATATCCTTTCGAATTCAAAACACTTATATACCACCTATTAAACGCGCTGCGATTTAACAAATATATGACGAACGACAAGTAATTAGTATTACAAAATTTTAGTAACGTCAAATTTTGTAATCGTATTTAGAAATTACGTTCAAAGATATCATGAGAATCATGCGAAACAAACTTAAAAAGCGATTGTTCGAAGATCTTGACTGACAATCCAAATCGATTTTCGGATATCTTCACGACCGTTCTTTGAGACAATGGCGACATCTATGTCAGATTTAATTTTACCCGCATAAAATTAAAAGTAAAACTGTATATACGTATGCATGCCGCTTCAAGAAATATGATTTTTATCTTAAGCTAAATTTTAATATTCTATTTTCAAATGCACAGGCGATAAATAAATCTAATTTTTAATGAAACTTCGTATATATTAATGCTGCGTACAAAAATTAATTGAATTTTGAAAATTAACAGTTATTTTACATATAATCGTAAAACCTTCATTTTATTTCAAGAAATAATCATCTTTCTATGTTACGGTCACAAGTAATTATTGTTTTACTAACTTTCTGCAAAAAAAATATAGCATATATCGTAACTTACATATTAAGTTATTTTTCATAGACTCGCATAAAAAATACAAAATCTAGTACATAATACTTTAAGATAAAAGTTCATTTTATTTACAAAATGATGAAGAAATAGAAATGATGGATATGAATTTATAATGGTGCTATTAATGTTGACATTGCAGTTTTGATTTCATCGTAAAGTTCCTTGTACTCTGAATGCTCTTTAATAAGTACCATAAGGCTGCCTCTTTTTACACCCATTGCAGTACCAATATCTTGTCTTGAAGGAGTATAACAATATGGAATATTTTTGTCTTCGCATACAATTGGGAGGTGACACATAATTTCTGTGGGGAAGACATCTCCAGCGAACACCACTATCCTGATAAAATATATAAACTGTTATCAGAATTCTGAAATCTTGGAATCTTTGTTTTCAATTGTAAATGTATATTTATTTTACCCCTGTTCTCCTTTACGAAGATGCTTCTGAACGTCTTTTAATCCATTTCGAAGATAAGATTTTTGTTTTGAAGCTGAAATGTGTATGTCGTAAATAATAAATATTATACTTTACAAAAAGCATTAATATTGGAAACACCTTACGAAATGTACTTTTAATAACACTTACCTTTCTTTATACATTTATAAATCTTTTTTGTTAACTTTTTGGGCGCCATGGGTTTGGCTATGGCATTTGTGTATTTTAATTTTTCTTCATAACTGAGTTCTGTACCATCTCCTTCTTTCATGCTGTCGTCAATTTCCATTTTAACTGACACTTGATCCATTTTTTACGTTAATGGTAGTTATTTTCAGTAAAAAATTAATTTTATTTCTACCACGTGCGATCACACACAACCTATAGACTGAACGCACTTCGACATTGAGGAACTCTAACCTAAAATTAATCTATAGTTTCACGAAAGCATAGTGTATAGCAAATTGTATAGTTTGAGACTAAATGGAAAATGACATAAATTTGTTGTCCATTAATTTTCTGCGGTAAATCTTCTTTGATGGATGTTATATGTATCGTTAAAGCAGAAGAATGCTTTTTAACTTCTGCGATCCACGTTTACGACCAGAAATTCAGTGTAATACTGTCAGTACAGAGGGATATGAAGTCACCAACCTAATAAGTGACAATGACAAAGGATTTCTAGCTTATGCTTGTATTAAACCACCTGTCAATATTGATATTACATTCTTGTGTAATGTACGTATCAACCATATTTTAATTTGGCCACATGTTGGTTCACAGAAATCATCTGGATTTCAATTATATTCCAAAACAAGTAACGATGCCAGTGTGCCTTATGCCTTATTAGCTACTGGGTTTTTAGACCATTCAAATGCTGGATTATTGTTGTACCCATCAAATGTCAATCATGAAACAATTTCTGTTCCACCAAATTTTTTAAAACGTTATATAAAACCTTCCCTACAGTATTTAACAACATATATAAGTAATTTAAGAATATGTATATGTAAGACAGAAAATTCAGTACCTGCATTAGGTAAGATTGAAGTATGGGGAACAGTATCACCAAGGTGTGGGAAAGATACAATGGCTAGCATTTGTACTTTATGGTCTAAACCACAACTTTCTGTGTCTGAATCCGTAAAAGCACCACAGAATAATGATTCACCTATTACTACTACAAATAACAAGTAAATACAATCTTACTTTGTCCAACATGTGGTATTAAAATATTGTGAATGGTTCATTTATATTAAATATGTACTATAATTGTTTCAGAGAACAATTAGAATTATCTCTACAAGTTCCTGAATGTTTTTTAGATGCCATTACTTGGGAAATCATGACACAGCCTATTTTATTACCAAGTGGCAAAATAATTGATCAAACTACATTACAGAAACATGAAGAAACTGAAGCTTTATGGGGAAGGAGACTAACAGATCCTTTCACAGGTTTGCCATTTAGTGAAGATCGTAAGCCTGTTATAGCAAATGCATTAAAAGCTAGAATAGATAAATTTTTACTTGAAAATAGTAATGTAGAAGAAATTAAGAGGCTGCCAAGAGTTTTAGGTCGTACATTATCTTCAGATATAGCTGATAAGAAAGTATTGGAAATTCCTAAATATTTGCTAAAAGAAAATGTGTCGAATAAAAGTTTAAGTGACAATAAATCTAAGTTGCATTGCAGAATGATAAATGCACAAGAAAGTAAAAAGTTTTGTCATAAACTGCCAGTTATTGTAATGTCTAGTAAACGAAATTCTTCCATCTTAAGTAAGCCCACAAAGAAACTAAAGACTATAATTTCTAATACATCACTGTATAAGGAAACAGAAAGTAAGGAGAAGGAATCTGACTGTATCAGTGTAATAGATTTAACAACTAATGACAATGTGGATGATGATGTTAAAACAGTAGCACCTTATCTAAAACGTTTTGATAGTACTTCTGAGGCACATGGTGAAAGTTCCAAATCAAATAGTTGCTCCTGTTGTTCTACTAGTATCTTTTACCAACTTCCATGCAAACATGTATTGTGTAGGAAAGTTTTACTATCTATGAAAAATAATCATTGTACAGCTTGTGGTATATCTTACAACAATAGTGAAATACAACGAATTTATGAATAAATGCAAGTACTTAATCGTGGTGATGAAATTATTTATTTATATCGTGTTCTTTTATTATTAATTGTAGACATTTTACACTAAGTATTGTAAATAAAGCTTAATGATAAGTTGTAATAAATATTTAAAAATTTCAGTTCATATGTATCAAATATTAAGCAAATAATAAGTAATATTAACAATGGTTCACGCCGAGTTGTGTTTTCAAGACACAATAATTTTTTTACCAAATGTATACTATGTTACAAATTTTCATAGATGTTATGCACACTTCATATACGAAAAATATGCACAGAATGTTCCTGGTTAGCCTTCTTCGATATGTATGTACATGTGTTTTGTAACAAATAAAAAGCATAGTAAATTTTTCATTATATAAAATATTTTTATAAAATTTAAAAAGTATTTCTTACATAAAAACGGATTTAAATTGTGCATATCATAATTCTGTGCATAGTAACACAACGAAAGAAGTCTCAATTTAAATATTTGTCAGAACAAAATTGAAAATGTCGATTTGGTAAAATTTGGATTATCTCAAATAATTTTTTAATCGAAAAGACAATACTGTTTTATCATTTGTTATCGAAAGTATCAATTATTTCTACATCCGAATATAAGAATATAATCTAGTATGTTTAATTTACATATTATAATACCCTAAATCCACTACCCTGACTTTGTCTTTTGGCAATATTAAATAACGATAATAAATAGTTACGCGAATCAGGAGAAACGTAAAACGTAAGTGTACGATCGGAATGAGGAGTGGTATTTTCAAAGACATCAGACTGTCCATCACTGTTTGTAGAAACACTAGCTAAGCCAGTGCTGCTACTACGAACGTACTCCGCAACTCGTGCTCGCATTTCTTGATCCATCTATTAACAATAAAATTTTAATAAGTAAATACATATGCAATTTTAATAATATTATACCCATTGCATCATACCTCATATGGAGCTGGTGATACTGATCTATTATTCTGAACTGTCTCAGGAGAACAGTATAAACATATTGTTGATTCCAAATGATGGTCGGCACTTGTTAAATCTTTTAATAAAAATATTCGTTCTATATTGTCTTCCGCCGTATTAACCAGTAATAATGCGTGTCTTGTTAAAACCAATGTTACGGCACGGTTACTACCTTGTTGAATAACATAATCTGCATTGGCAACATGCAAAATATTGCCATGATTGTTTTCAAGCAATGGTAATAACCACCAAGCATATCTAATAGATGTGTTATTATTGCCAGTTGTGTACTGAACAACTGGTCTTTGTCGAGGCTGTAACAACATGTCTACTATTAATTTATTTCATTAATAGTATTTAAATATAAGATCAAGTAGCGTGTACTATAAAATAATTTACCGAAGGTAAAGAATTCCAGCCAGCGCCTTGAAGTAATCCTTGTCCTGTTAATGCAACCAATTCTGCAGCACCGCTTAAAGGTTTAGTGACTACACCAACTAGACCAAGGCCAACACCGGTGACAAGACTTTTAGTTGTTATCTCTCCTGACCAAACCTGTTGCAAAGGATGGTGTGCCAATCCTGCGACTGCAGCTAAATAAATATAACAATTCACGTGAATCATCTTGTATGACAAAAAAATGATAAATTAAGAAGTAGTATTATGATATACCAAGAAGACTCATTCCTAGCCCAGTTAAGCCTTGATAGAATCCCTGCGCCATGCCTTGGGGTCGCATTCTTCGGGACTCTTCTTGTCGTTGTAAATGTTCTTCATCGAGTGTTAGGCGATCTAAATTCCGTGCTACACTGGATGCTAGTTTAGTTACAGAATTCAGCGTACCTAGACCAAATTTATTTATGAAATATTTGAAGTTTATTACTCCTTCAGATGTCTGTAAATATTGATACCTGCTGTGACGTGTCTCATTAAACTGGCTGAGCCATGTGTTATTCCTACAATAAAACCCCATGGACCTTGCAATAAACCTTGAAATGGAAGAGAAACAAAGTCACGAAGCCCTGATCCAAGAGCTTGTGCTAAACTTCCTGGTGATCCTAATATTTCTAAAGATCCAACTACCCAACCTGATGTACAAACATTTCAGAAAGTTGAAATTTATGATGTATAGGATTAAAAATATCAAATATAAAAAATATTACCTGCTCCAAATATAGCACCAGATAAATAATGCATTGTAAGAGCATTACCAAGTTTATAAGGTGTAGTTAAAATATTCTTTTTCTCAAATGTTCCAAAATATAGTGGGGAATGATCTAAAGCTACATATAAACGGACAGATGTGTGAACGCTCAGTAAAATAGACACAGGTTCTATCTTTAAGTTTTGCAGTCTTAATGGTGCACTCAATATTTTTGCATCAACCATTATGTAGTCAGGAATGTATACTCCGATCGTCGAAACCAATGTCCTTGCCTTTTTCAAACTATCAGGCACTAGAAATCTTGGTGGTACCATTGCAGTTGCATAATTCAACAATTGAGTTATATATGTATCCTCGATGTAAGCACTAATTGGTGCGAATTTTATAAAAAGATCTTTTGACACTGAAAGTAGCATTGAAGAGAAATTAGTATTAGTATAAAATAAAAATTCAACATGTAAAAATCTGAATGTATAGTAATGTACCTCTTAATTGCCCTTGTTTTTCTAAAACATAATCAATTGCTATTAGCGAATTTTCTCTGATCTGTTCAAGTTTACTCATCAAGCAGTTGCACGTATAAAATCTGGTTTCTTTTACTAGAAGTGGACTCTGACTTATTAAAACTACAGGAAAGTCAAATCCTCCTTGATCAAATAACTGATTATCTAATTGTAAGTCACCTATGAAAACACGCAAATTTATGGTCTTAGATTTTGCAACAGCAGCGACTATAACATCGGTCATAGACAAACTAGCCACTTCAATTCGTTGGGCATTTTCATTCATGTCGTGCATGATAACAATTGTAACTCCGCGAAGGCAAATAGTTGCAGATCCCTCGTTAGAATTATTTTCTCCAACAATTTTTGCATCGTCGTTCTCGCTACCTTTGATATTTTCTACAGTGGTTATTAAACGTTGTAAATGCATTTGCGAAGAAGTTTTCATATCTGGAGTTGAAGTGTCTTCTTGAGCAGAGAAGAAAGTGGTTACCGAGGTCGAACTACCAGAACTTTGCACATTTATCGTTGATCTGTCATCTTCTTCAATTGAAAATGACCCATGCAATGATTCAATATCTTTGGGATCATTCTCTTTACGCAGTAATCGACTTCTAATATCTCGTGCAGACACCTCCACTTGTGAAATAGGAACAATATTAATGTACGTGGTGTAACAATGATTTTGCATGATCAACTTCACATCCCCATAGGATGGCAATCGGACATACTGATCCACTGCCACACCTGATATTGCGGACAAATTTATTCCTCTCGACCATCGTAGCTCTTTGCCCTTTATTTGTTCGTTATAACCACTCGTCACAGCAGAAAATAGTAAGATATTTGAAGCGTTGGTAACCGGAGCATCAGGTAGCCTATTGCTGATAGATGGAATGGTATAATGGCAGTTCGCATTACTTTCAATTTCACAAATCCAAGAAAAATGAGGAGTGTCCGGTATTATTCCTCCTCCCGATTCGTTAGCTTGACCCAGTAAAATTTTAAAGGCGCATGTGTTCTCGATTAGTAACTGAGGATGATGATCCACGTACATCATTATATAAGTCGTACCCTTATCCTCTTGTATAGTGATAACTACTGGCATGGTGGTAGACCCATTTGGAACAGCAACACATTTGCGACTCATGCCTTGGTCAACTCGGATTGGGCACGACCACTTATGTCCCAGACTCAGAGATATATAAAGTGCAAGTGGTTCTATGATTTCCTCCATATACAATGTATACCACTGTGTGATGGGGATACCCTGTTTCTGATCTTCATTCGATGAAATATTGAAGCTGAAAGGGGTAAGATCATTCGGTAGTTCGAGTCTAGTCGCATCCTCGTGAACTGCTAACGTGGCAACGCACAATTCTTGAGGCGTTAAGTTATTAATAACGTGGCTACTTGTTACTCGTACAAGACGCATATCTTCGTACATGCTGGAATTAATATTCATAATTGAGACACTAGAGCCACAATCTACACATGTTTTAATATTTCCATCTAGTGGAATGAGTCCACCTATTTTTGGCATATAGAAGCTTTGACTCCAATCGGGCCTAGCCAGTTGCAGAGCCTGGGATGTGTAGAAGGTGTCGCCGATGCCAACGCATAAATGAAATGTACCTTCCAATTTAGGTGGTGTTATGATGCCGTAATGAGGAATCTGACAGAGCTCGATATCCTCAGATACTAATGAGAGGTAACATCCTACTGAATTTAAAATAAAACACCATGGTTGCAGTTCTAACAGCAATGTACTCGACACTAATCCAGCATCTTGATACTTCACTTGTACATGCGTTTGCGGTTGTTCAGCAGATATCCATTCCTCCATCTCGTCTTCCTGGAAAGGCCACTCAACTTCGTTCGTTTGATTCTCAAGACTCTTCAGAATATCGTCGATGTCCTCTGACTCGGGTCTTCTGAAGAACTTTCGTTGGTCTACAGAACTGTACGACAATGGAACGTACGGGTTAGAGGTGGAAACTCCAGATTCCAGCTGGAATGTTAACTGATGAAAATGTTCAAATGTTCCAGGACAGTACAGTTGTTGTCGTTCACCCCGACCATTCACCATTGTGCTTAAAGATATCTTCAACGAAGGTGTATCCATTTGTACTCTAACTGGTACCGGTAGATGTGACTTGATCATGTAAAGGGGACTAAGCACAGCTAATACTTTCATTCTCTCTTGAATCGTTTGCGTCACTATCCGAACCCAGATGCTTAAAAATTGTCCACGTTCTTGCAACGGAACTTTAACGAGCCATGGTTGTCCCCATTTCACGTTAGGCTGAAGAGGAATATCCCCTGTCCACGACAGATTTGGTACATTCGTGAAGCGCAAACGTATTGCCATTTTCTTGTTGCCATCAAGTATAACCGATGGCGGTCGACTTTTACCAGCAATAGGATATACGTCTTTCAGAACGGTCACTTTTGATCCAATGTCAGCCTCGTACCTGACTAACTTCATTTCAAAATTATCAACCAATTGATTGGAAATTATAAGCTGTCCGCAGAACGTGACAAGCTTCTGCATGGCGGAAATCGACGCGACGCTTACAAATACTGCCGCTTTTGTTGCTGAATTATTAAATTCGATTGCCTGGATTCCATCAGTGCCTACAGAAAATGGCTTGCTCCATAACCATACATTGTCTTTGATCGCTATTCGCAACATTTTGTTACTGATATGTCGCCATGAATAGAAATTACATTGCCTACTTTCTAACAGAATATTTTCTCCTGTACCACTTTGACCGAAGAGAATAGGTACATTGCTGTTATTGGCTACCATATAGCGTGTGAATAGAATCCCACACTTCTTTTCTTCCTCCAGAGAGGCAAACCATAAATGCGTGGAAACTGCCAGCGTGTGGGCTATGGTTGGACTCAGTTTTAGAGAAAAAGGACTACACGTTAAAGATATATCAGTTTTGTCTGACAGCGAAAGTTGTAATCTTGCTTCCAAAGGATCTAATACTTCTTGCATAGTTAGGTAACTGTAATCCAGTATATGTATCCCAAACGTGCCTCCAATATCAATCAATACTGAACCGTCTATCCACCTATTAAGCACGAGGATAGCTCCTTTATGCTCCAGAGTCATGAAGCATTGAGTTTCGGGTAGTATACCTTTCAAAGTATAATTTTTTAAAGGTGGCTGTAACTCATCTATAACCGAGTTAATTTGGTTAAACATCGATATGTGGATAGCACCAATATTAAGTGCAGCTTGTATGTTAGGTATAATTGAAGAGTTGAAATAAGAATCTATGCGCAAACAGGCTGCAAGAACTCGGGCTGAAATTATGGTTTTTGGTCGATTGCTGTTCAGAAGAACCACACGCCATATGCAAGCCACTGCACGCGCCGGAGCTTTGTCAGGAAGTTCCAAACGATAAGAATCTGTTTCTGACAAATAAAAATCAGCGTAACGTTGATAGGACATATGACAATCACTCCAGTATTCTAGAGTACAATGTACTCTTTCCACGTTAACAGTATCTGAATCTAACGTCTGAAAAAGATGTAAGATAGGTATAACCAAGTGATGATAAAAATTTCTAAATAAAGTCTTCTCTATTATGAATTTGACTTACTTCAAACGGAACCGGCGATACATGTATTCTCGTTAATGTTCTTGGCTGAGGATATCTCCAGGCCATCGACTGTTGAGGATAAGTGAAAAATATGACCTAAAAAAACAGTGTATTGGAAAATTAGTTATTTTTTAATTTAGTATGGAAGTATTAGCAAACTTACTTGATAAGGAAAAGGAAGTTCATCTGCATTTCCATTTACGAATTGAAATGCGCCTGCTTTAAGATCATCCTGATAGTGTTGCTCAGTCGAAAGTACAATTTGTTTTCCACTATCTTTGCTTTTTGACGAAGACAACGTTAACTCGCTTAATAATAACTGGCAATCTTCCACAACACTTTTTAGAATTTTTATTTGTTCTGGACCAAAATCTAAATAAAGACTATCACTATCAGCCTGTACTTGTACTTGTGGAATAGAATCAGTATTCTGCCAAGTTTCCCATAGCAGGCAAATAGTCACGTTGCAACACCATGGATTTAAAAGAACTTTTATGTTTTCGTTAAGGATCACTGATATGATACAAGAATCTACAGACGTGTTAGAGTATATTCTATCGGGTCTAAGAAGAGATGAAATATTGCCGGATAACGAAGACAAACTAGCTATTATTTCAGCACCAGAATCAGTTTTTAGAGAAAGCACCACTTGCTTTGTAGATATGTGCAAATCAGGCGAAGTCATTCTTTTCGATTTGGTTACTGAAGGTATCTTTATATCGTCAAAGTGTTCGGAAGATGTTGATTCGTGCTGACTTGTCACACATGTTAATATCTGATAACAAATAAAAATCAGTAGTCTTCCATCTGTGCTACACTTTTGAGGCGTTTTGTACAAGCATGATACGTTACCTTATTTTTAATACTATATATCTGATTTAGTCTTGATAAGGAGAAATGAATTTTTGTAGGTCTTCCCATATCTATGGAGAACTGCGGATTTTTTCCTAAAGTTTTTTCGTATTTTACTGTTATAAAAGATGGAGGGATGCCTGTATCCGGGTGCAGATCCCCATTTTTTGTTTCAATCATATATACTTTGAAATCCTTTTCTGTTGGTATTGAAATTAATTCTCTGCGTTCTTTATCTCCAAGAGCAACGGTGATATCGAAACACGATACCTAATATAACAAATTTTTATACTAAAATATTCCTGGAAAAATTTTATTCTTATTGGAAGATTAACATACTTGTATTTTTTGTAATGGATGCTGTTGAGAAAAATATATATTTGGTTGATTAACCATTATATAAAATAGTGGCTGCTTCTGAGTTTCGCCCTCTTCCTCTTCAACTTCATTTATATCCTATATAAATTTTATGAATTCAATATTGGTACATTTAATTAACTAAAAAACTACTTACAACTTGATATTCTGTGACTGTTTCCTGAATATCATAAAGCACGAATGTTATTTTTCCACAGTTTACTAAAAACTCAAATGGTGAAAGGACAGAGGTATCTAAAGATGGTGGCTTATCCTAAGAGAATGGAATAGAATAAATGACTTTTGTTACATGCTTTAAACATCCAAACTCTTACTTGAAAACTTACAACAATCGTTGAATTTATGCTGGATGTTTCGAAATCGATACCACTGTCTTTAGTAAAATCAACATCTGTGTCCTCAGAAACTTGTTTCGTCCACGTAATTTGTTTCATACCTCCCACATTTGACAATGTTTTTTGAGTTGTATTGCTAAACACAGTTGCATCTAAATTTTGTTCAAAGTGTCCCAGCAATATATTCCTTAGCTCATTACTTAGAACTGACATCAATTGAATCTGATCCAAATTCACTGTCACTTCTATATCCGTAATACAATTTACTTCAATGGCACTTCCGCATACAGTTACATCCGGTTTAAATATCACAGGTGGAGCAATAATTAAACACAAATCAAACCTATGGTACAAATTTTTGTTAACGATATGTCATATTATTATTAACCTGTATTACGAATTGCATACTTTGACAATAATGGAAGCGTGGAAAACTGGCGTTCTAAACTACTTCCATGTCCAAGTTTATTCCATTCTAATGCAGGATTTTCATTCATGGTGTACAGATACGACTGAGACATTTTCTGTAGACAAATACTTTAATGCATCATATCACTAACAAATTAACAAATGTACTTCTTCAACAAACCTTGTTTATACTCATTTGATAATTTTTCCAAGTAGTTGTATGAATACATATCCCCTTTATATTAATTTGATACTGCCTATCTTCCACAGCAGAACCTGGTATACTCAAAATATTTGCTTGAGCTGCAAGTTGATATATGTCTAGTCTTAAAGGAGTTCTGCAAATCGGATTTTCGGCGTGTGGAGTAATTCGAACTCCGTCTAGCTACAAAATCAATAAAATTTTCATTCAAGAAAGAAATTTACTTTTACTACATATTCATAAGAAAAACATGCAACTACCTGAAATATTAATAGATCATGCTGTGGTTTGAATTTTATTGCGTTCGAGACAGGTAACATTAGTCTAAGTCCTTTGAAGTCTAAATATACTAGTGGCAACATTTCGACATCAAGATTGGTGATACTAGTTAAAGGTGGTACTACATTTTGTTCAGAAATTTCAGTTGTACCCTTTTCAGCGGATTGATAAAACCACGTGAAAGGTTTTATCAGTTGCATGTATTTGCTAACTATTGTTAGTGGTAAAATTAGATCCATCATTTGCACTTTTATAACTACTTCAGAAATATAGCTATTAGCAGATAAGATACTCTCGGACATTATATCTTTCTAGAAAATAGAGGATGAAAATGTAAAATAATATAGGAATATTGTTTGCTCTACTTTTAATAATAGGTACCTTCTGGCTTTTGTGTTTTTTATAGGTACCCCATCGTGTATGAACATTTCCCGACTTTGCTCTAGTCAAGGTAAAACTTATAAACCCAGAATCATCACCTTTTTCTAAGCTATCTTCTCTCCCGCAAAGCACCGCGCCTACATATTCCCCAATATCCCAAGTCACTGAATTTGGCGCTCTACAAAAGAATATCTTCTATTATATCGCATTAGAATTACAAATACTATAATTCTTTATATAATTACTAACCTTGTGTAATGGAATATAGTAACTGTCGTGATTTTACTTTTTAATTTTAGGTAGACAGGTTGTAAATCTAAAGAAGTAATAATGTCTTCTAATTCAAGAACTAATTTTAACGAAGATAAACTTTCTTTTTCCGTAACATATAATTTTATAGCAATTTTTGTTATGGTCCACTGAATCCATGCAGTCAAAATTAATTCATCCGTATCTGAAAGAAGTATAATGTTAAATAGTCATATACATGAAACCAATTCTTAATTTTATAATATACCTTGTGCAGCATCATCCTTTGAAGTAGAAACTGTTGAGTTTGTAGTTGTATCTTCAGGATATAGTAATTGCGTTGGTGTAGATGGAGTTTGTGGTATGATAGGGAGAACAACTTGCGTCTCAATATTTATTTGAGTACTAGTTATCCCACTCTTATTAATACTGGTTGTGTCTCGTATTACGTTTGCTATACTTGAGATTATTTTGTTCATAAAAACTACCTGAAATTAAAATATTTTTCATACCCGTTTTACAATCATGTTATATAAGCCATATACTTTTATAGCAATACCTGTTCTTCGGAAATTGAAACGATAATCGGAGAATTGTCAATGTGAACGCAAACACCCAATGCTGATAATGTATTTTTTTCTGATTTGAACGTCGTGACCTTAGTTGTAAGAGCAACTGTAGCATTTAACGACATTTTTTTAATGAAATTTTTTTGGGTATTCTGTTGTAACATGTAACAATGGAAATCAACGAGACTCAGTGTCCACGGAAAACTCTGTGATTCTAAAATCAATTACCATAAGAATAATGTACCTTGATCATACGTTTTATTACTTACTGTTCGTCCACATCGATTTTGGTAGTACAACTGGTAATTCTTGAAGGTAAGGTGCCAATGATTCGAAATTTACATTGGATGAATGAATCACTAAAGTGGGTAACTTTATTATTAGTATTTGTAAATTAGTATCGTTTTTTAGTGCTCCATCTTTGGCTTCTTCTATACCTAAATAATTTGATTAAACATAGTTACAGTAATGATGTATTAAACATGTGCTGCAAAGTTTAAACATGTATGTACCATATGCCCCTATACCACTCATTGTCATTGATGGTATGTAAATAACAATATGTCCAACACAGCCACTTAACACAAGACCACCCCACCATGGATACAATTCTGATAATCTGACCAATATTCCCAAATTCTGTAAGTTCTAATATAGATTACATCTTTATAATTAATAAATAAAAAAAAAAATGTTAAAAATCTTTAAAAGTTATTTTAAATTTTCAATACCTGTCTTTCACCTTCAGTTTTAGAATCTTTTTTTTTTAGAGTTTCATCATTTTGTACAGTTTTTGATTTCTCTGTCGTTATAATTGACTTTCGTTTTTCTTTGTCGGAAGAACTATGTACACTTTCATGTAAACTGGGAAATGTTTTCTTCTTGGTACCAGTATCAGAAGATGCTCCTTCTAAATGTTGTTGCATTTCGGGCCGCATCGTGCATACCGTACCGATATTATAATAAGTAACACGATATTCTAACCATTTAAACAGCAGTGGATCGAGTGAAGCTCTAATGTCTGCCATCTGAAGAGAAACGAGAGGTGGATGCGTCTGTTTCTCAATATCCTTTGGGAACTGTATGACAGCTGTTAAGAGCGACTTATTCTCTATATCACTGAAACCAAAACATTATTATGAATATAAATTCCGCTTAAAATATGATCGACATATACCTACCCATCGATGTTACTTTCTGGACCCGAAAATACAAAGGCCTGTTGCGACTCATTAAGCGCAAACATTTTCACTGAACTTATACTTATTTCATTTGAAATTGTAACTAAAGATGACAGCTTTTTACAATTTACATTCTCAAATAATAATTCCAAGTAGACAGGATCTGAAATATACGTCACATATGTGTTACATTATGTATTCAATAAAAGTTTCGGTATTGTATCACCTACCTGCTTCTTGGCAAGCATCATTAAATAAAGAGGAACACACTAGCGGATTTGTTGTATCAGTAGGGTCGAAAATTGAAGTCAGTATAGATACAGCAACCATTAATTTTGCTTTTGTTCCAGTAATTGTAATACTATCCATGTGTACAGTGTATGTTTCATGTATTAAATCGACATCCTTCCAATATTGCGGATACAATAATTTCTTTATTTTACATTCAACAGAATAAGGCATTACTACAGATGTATGACAATTTTTTGTCAAATAAAGTTGACTCCTTGCTCCATTCACCTAATTAAAAATTAACGCTATTTTAAACATATAAATGTATATGTTTTTGGGTTACGTTACCTGCACTGAAATAACTTTATGGCACTGATTAAACATTTCTGTTGAAAGCTCAGTTTGTTTCGATGCACAAGCTGCAAGTCGAAATGGATATAAAGGTTGAAGTATGAACACAATTGCTTCATCACATTCAATACTCAGAAAAGGATCGTCTGTAAGAGCAGGCGTTAACGGTGTCGTCTAGCAAAATAATACGAAAGAAATAATAATGTAATAAGCACTTAACATAAGTGTTATGAATGATATACATATGCACACTACATACTCGACTTTCAACTATCTTTCGATGACGGGGTAATCCAGTGACAGAATGATCAGCTAATTGTAATTGTAGCGATGCTCTTATTACTATAAACTTTGTCTGGGCCATAGAGACATTTTCTCGTAATGCTTCATACTCTTCCAATGTAACAGGAGGAAGTTCATCCACGAGTGGATCTAGTAAAAATGTATAAATAATAATTTTAAATACTTTGTATATACAAAAGTTAATTGCAATTATACCTGGTTTTGTAACTATGTATGGATTGTAATCATAATTTGCGGCGGCTTGCTTTATCGTTTCGATACGATGAAAAATACCTGAGCACAATCTAATAGTTAAATCACCTACGATGTATCTCATTACTCGGCGCTCGTGGAAATTACTAAAAATTATTGAAAATTTAGATTTGTATATATTATTGTTATGATCATCTTAATTTACTCCACTTGCCTATATTCAAAATTAGATCCAAATTCTGCCAATTTCTCGGGTGTAATATCATCAGGTAATTCTACGCAATGAACATAATCCATAGAAAATGCGGGACATCGTTCTATCAACCGCTCTTCTACAAATGATTTATGTATTTTTTTTTATGAAACAGTACATATTAAGGAGATCAAAATTTTACTACCTGAAACTGTACGTAGATAGTAATATATTCCCTGTTTATATTCTCTCCTTTTGCCTTTGTTCTCCACTGAATCATTGTCAAACAAAGAGTCTTTCAAATAATCAGTATTTAACTTGCCAGCTATTAAATATAAGGGTGGCTAGACAAAATTATTCATTAGTTTTTATGACCGAAAAAAGTATTAAAAAATATAGTATAAGACATTACCTGAGCTCCATCTACGACTTCAAGGTGTCCACAGCTACAAGTTCCTCTTGGATATATACGAATACAACCCATTCCAATTTGAAAAGTAGTCATTGCAATACCTTGGAGTAAACTATCTACTACTACCCCATTCAATCGTAATGTTAAAAATGATTTATATCGGAGCTTACGAGATTTATAAAATAATTGTTCCTTAACATTTTCCACTGTCTATAAAATATTATATTTTTAATACATTGTTTATCTTATATCCGTTTTTTAAATTTGTACCTTAAAAGTTAAAGTGGCATCTTGTACATAGATGCCTAAATGAATTGTGTGTCCTGAATAAGCCATTTGTTGTTCTGTAGACCAATCATTATCCCAATCAATAGGTAATAAAGATGATACCGCGTTCCAAGCCCATCCACCCCAACCTGTAGTTTCTGCAACATTACCTCCTGCACGATCTATATCATCTATAGAATTATTAAATGTAAATATGGTTATGATATGATAGAGTTATATTCCATAAAACGAAGCAGAACCTTGTTTGATATCTTCCCTTTCCTCCATGGAAATTAAGGATCTTTCTTTGCTGGAAGGAAACTGTTTTGTTTGCAAGGCCATTATTAATGCAGCTAATCTGAGCAACATTGGTACTTGTTGTTCTGTTATACTAAATTCCATCTTCTGACAGTGAAGGTCTAATCGTGTAATGGAAGCTTTTTTTGCAGTGTTACTATGATAATTTACAATCAAGCGTATTACAACAGAGCATCGATACAGAACAGGGTCCTAAATTATAAAATAACAGATTTATGTCTTATTACAAAAAATTGATGTAAAAAACATTACCTGATATATTTCTATTTTCCCAGAAGCATCCATTTTATCTAAACATAGTGTTAGATCTTGAATAGTGATAACTTTTCTAAGCATAACTTCATATCCATTGACATCTATAAATATATATGTATTGTTTAGTATTTATTAATGAATGATTTTTAAAAATACAATACAAAATATATACCAGTAAATGTTGGTTCCCATTTATTATTAACAGTCTGCATACTTAAAAACCTGACATTGACACTGAGAACAATATCTTCTTCCACATATTTTAGAATTAAATTATTACAATTGATTGTTATGTTATTTACAACCTTTGTTACTATACTTTTTATATACCCAGGTGGTGTTTCATCCCTATAAAGTAAATTATAATGCATTAAATTATAAAATATTAATAATGATATAACAATAGCAAAGGCTTGCTTACTGTGGTATTTCCTGCCTCCTTTGCACTTCAGAAGGAATGGTCTCCACTTTATTATCATCTTTTAATTTTAAAATGCATTCTAGAAGTAAAGATGGGTATGTTTATATACACTGTATTATTATTTGAATATAATATAACTTTTGCTAATTACCTATTGTGTTAATTGTAATGACAATCGGCTCTGAAGTAATTTTTACCCAAGGAACATGAATGAGCAGTTCATGTATATGACCACTGACAAATACAAATGGAAGATTAAGTTGTTCTTCCAAAACTTCTAGTCGTAAATCAAGATTTTGAAATGATGCATCACCACCCCATAAGGAAACCTTAAATGCAAAATGAAATTGTATAGGATGTTATTCTATTAAAAAAGTGCAGGAATATTATATATTTTTAACTTCATATATATATATATATATATATCACAGCTAATGTACCTGAGATTGTTCTGGCTTGAAATTTTTCACATATTTTTCAACGTAACTAAGAATCACTGGTGTTATATATGATTCGAGTTTGAACATGGTGAATGATTATTCAATGCATTCCACATACTCTTATGTGTTTAATAAATTTATATAAGCAAAAAAGATTGTATTCAATTGTTTAATCTATTAAATATTGTAGGTACTATTTGCAGAAATGATGACTGTACTAATCAAAAATTATATCAGCCCATACATGGGCTTAACTTTAAAAAGTATAGGATTATCTGCAAATAACCAAATCAGTATATGAAGAGTTGTTTTCAAATTTGTAAAGGAGTATGAAATAGGGTAAACAGAACCAATAGACACTTTAAGAAATATATTTTATTCTTCTATCATTTTGATGTAGAACCAACATAAATTGTAATGGGCTATTATTTAACATATTATTACACACTTAATTGTGAAATATTCATAAAATAAATAATAACCTTATCAAATTGGCAGTGGATCATGCATCAAATTCAAATATAAAAATATGTTTCAAAAACACATATCTTCCTCTTATTTGTAATGAAACATTTAACCAAAAATGAAATGATTAATGCCACTCTAAATGATTTGTAATTGAAAAATACTCAGTTATGATTTTATGTAGCATATATTATTAGCTTTATTTATGCTGTCAGTCTTAACCTTAAAAATTTGACATGCACTGTGATTGCATGTGCATTATAGTAGCTATAGTACGCATGCTTGTTGCTGCACCTATATATATTTTGATGAAATTTAAAACTCTGTATGGGTATATTAATAATTCTTTTATTACTATGTATGTACACTTTATCAAATGATTATACAGCTTGTATATAGCCATATAAATAAAAATAAAATAAAAATAAACCCTCTGGTATTATTATTTTATACTTTATTACCTTTTAAATTGAATTTGTAATACTATTCAATTTTCTTCCCATTTCTAACAAACTTGGTAAAAATGTTCGCCGTTCTTTTTTTCAAATTTTTGTATATTTACTTGATGCTCAATTATTATTAAAAGCAATGTGACTTTTTTGACATTTATGTATTATAATTTAGCATAATGGCACATATAAGTGCATATTTTGCTTCCCGAGATTATACAAAACCTGCGATTGATCGTCGCATTGCTGAATTATTAAAAAGAAGAATTGAATTAGAAGCTTTGCCTACAGAAACATTAAAAGAACGTCTTGTATGCTGAGGACATGAATTTTTTAAATGCTACATTATTTCCTGATATTTATACTAAAGATGTCCATATTTTATATATGTAGGAAAAATTTAAAGAACAACGAAGTGTAAGACAAGGGTCATTGAAAGTAACACATAGACAGGTCTTAGAAGTTGTAGCTTTTATTTTAAACTTAGATCCTGATCTTTTGGAAGAAGGAATTGTCGATAAAGATGAATATGTTAATGTCTTTGATAGTTTCTTTGATAAAAATGGGAAACGAGCAATTCTTATTCATTTTCAACCTATGGGACCACCACCATTTGGTATTGTATTTTATCTTGATACATAGTTTTCATGATATTAAGGACAATTAATATAAAAATGTTGTATCAAAATAGAGTCAGGACGATGGAAACCAGATTATGAGCATGAGAATCAGATGATACGCTGCTGTGTTACTGATGGTTCTACTGAAAAGCTCTCTGGCAAATGTGTTATAGTTTACAGAATAAAATCAGACATTGCTTTTGAATCTAAACATCTTTTTGAAGTATGTTTTTAGGTGCATAAAATACACATATTTATAATTCTCTCTTAACTTAAATTCTTGAATAGGAAACATATTATGCATATACAGAAGCTGATCCCATATCTGAAAGTGCTCTTGCAGCGGTATCAGAGTTAATTGTAAGATTAAATTTGTCTGCAATAACAGCTAATACAGTATGGGGTGAATTGTCAAAAACTGAAGCAGGAGAAAAAGTGATAAATAATTTTGTTTGTGATTTTAGAGATTTTTGTGAATTTTTAAGCAGTAAGTTTTTGATACTTGTATCTATATGAAGTGTGGTACTATGTAATATAACTGTTATTTCTATACTTCTTTTAGTGACTAAACTTGATTTAGATAGTACAATAAAATTTGATACTGACTGGGAGCTGTATGATAAGTATTTAGCACAGTCTGAAACTGCAAAGAGTATTAAAGATCCTGAAATCATTCGTGCTATAGAAAATAATGTTAAAATATGGATGAAAAGTATGGAGCGGGTAAAGTTTTAATTAGTAGCTTTTAGTTTGAATATATGGAAAGTATAATAATTCTTGTTTTGACCACAGGCTATTGTAGAGAGTCAACAGTTGCGTAGAGAATCTGAGCTTATGGGTCCAAATGAAGAACTTAATTATTGGAGAAGACTACTTGCTCGTTTTTCATCAATCATTGAGCACATGAAATCTCCTTCTACTCAAAAGTATATAGACTTTTTAGGAAGTGTACATTCGAAACTTATAAAGGTATATTCAGTTATTAACTTCCTTTTATTTAGTTAATAACAGTAATAAGTATTTTATGCATTATACTTAGAAATGGAAAATGCTGGAAAATCATGTAAAAGTAATACAAATTCTGGCACAAGATAATGTAAAATATTTGTATGCATTAGAAAAGTTTACTCAACCATTGTATAGACTTGATCCAACACAAATGGGAGAATATTTACCTCCACTTATGTATGCTATACGAATGATCTATGCTACTTCACGATTTTTTAATACCAGGAGAATGGTTACAGCGGTTTTTGTAAAGGTATTATAATAAAATTATAAATATTTTATATTTCGCAATAATTAATTAATTTTATTATTAATTCTAGATGACAAACCAAATGATATTAGCATGTAAAGCTTATTTAACTGAGGAGGACAAAATAAATATTTGGAATGAATCCAAATCTGTTATGATATCTAAAATAAAGGTACAAATTTGTATAGTACAGATGAATTTTAAGAGATAAAATTTCTTATTTACTTTTATTACAGGATTGTACAAAATTGTGTGAACAGTACTATGAATATTATAATGATATGTGCAAGCAAGTTAAGGAATCTGCTGATGAAAAACCTTTTGAAGTATCAGAAATGTATGTTTTTGGAAAATTTAACACTTTCAAATCAAGAATAATAAAAGTTAGTAATATTTGATTAAAATAATACTACTGTTATTAATAATGATTACAAATAAATCAATTGTATTTCAGATTATGGATGTTTTTCAAACTGCATTAACATATTTAATTCTTTATAGTTCTGCAATACAGGGAATAGATTTATTTGCGAACAAATTTTTTAGTTCTTTTCAGTATATTGCTTCAAAAGATTATGATCCATTAGATCATAGAAAACCTTATTTTGATGCTGACTATGACAAATTTAAGAAAGATGTAGCAGAAACTGAAGTTGAATTAAGAAGTTTCTTTTATAAGTCCGTAGCCGAAGCTCCTAACATAACAGAAGCATTAAGAGTAGTGGCAAGGTAATTTTCATATGTTACACACATTTATTATCAATAATAGTCATTTATAATATATGCTTGATACAGATTTGAAAAGCTGAAGTTTAAACATTTAAGAATAGATAGAAAATATTTGGAACTTATAGTATTATTTCAAAAAGAAATCGAGGATGTACGAGATAGATACAACGAGGATAGATCTGATCCACCGTTACCCAGAAATGTTCCACCTATTGCTGGCCGCATTTTATGGATTCGGCAGCTTTACAGGCGTATTGAAGACCCAATGGAAATATACAAAAAATGTTTAAGAGTACTTAGCCATGATCGTATGCAGAGATGTATAAAAATTTATAACGCTCTAATCAGTGTCTTTATACATTATGAATTAATATATCACAAAGCATGGTTTGACTCTTCAGAAATTGTAAGTGTAATTATTACTATATAAAGAGTAAACCAATAATCAGTTGAAGCATTACTTGTTGCAATTTAAAGGTTCGTTTAGCATTAGCTTCACCTTTACTTATACGACATCCAGAAACAAATAAGTATCACTTAAATTTTGATTCGTACATTATTGAAGTGATACGAGAATCGGAACACATGGCTAGATTTAATTTAGAAGTACCAGATTTTATACAAATCATAACGTTTTGCAAAGATAAAATTTTGTCATCCTATGAAACTGTAAAACAATTAGTTGAAGAAAATAATGCATTGAGGTAAAAGTTAATTCTTTCTTTCTAGTAATGAAGAAAATTAAATTTTCTTCTGAATTTCAGGCGAAACATATTACTACTGTTTCTAAATTTGATGAAAATTGTTCTTGTTAATCTCGAGATCGCTTTTCAACCCTGCTTGGCAGTGGTAACATGGACATCTTTGAATATATCTGAAGTTTGTGAAAAAATACAAGGGGCTCTTACATCTGTGCACACTTTTGTAAAAGAGATAACAGATATGAAGGAGGCAAGGGTCGATGAAATTTTTGATTCTATATCAGATGTTATATTGGTAAACGTTGATGGTGCTGCAAAACAAGCAACTCAGTTATTGGATGATAATGTTGCTTTTGGAAGTACAATTGCCTCTGACATTGAAATAAAATCGTCCGCTGCAGAAATAGCTGTAATAACAATTATTAATAAATTTATGGACTTTATAGTTGATGAGTCTGTTCAAAATACAAAATATGATTGGATGGATCCAGAAAAAGCATATAAATACACTTCACAGACTAAGTTAACAAAAGGGAAATATGAAGCAGGTAGATATATTTTATTATCCCTTTTCATGAATATATAATGTTCTAAAGCTGTTATAAATAATTTTAGGCTTTGCTCCCATTGAAAGAACACATAGAGTTCAAATAAATAGAGTTCACAATGACTGCATGGAACTATTTGCATACTTTCATGGAAAGCTTATAGATGCTTTAGTAAAATGTACTAAGAATACTTTTGAATTATTGAAGAAAAAGGTCACAATTTTCAGGTTCGTACAACTTTATTTATAGTATATATTATTTTAAAACCATTTACATTCTCTTTACATTAATAATTACAGTACTTTGATAAATGATGAGGATAATTCAACAGAAAAATCTCCAATTTTATTGGCCTCATTTGTTTTACAAATACCAAATATTTCTCTAGCACCTCCAATAGAAGAGTTACAACACTATTTTGGAAAACTACTAATTTGTGTTTTAGAGAATCATAAAAAAATTATCGCTTGGGGACAGCGTTATTCACATGGAACAAGCTTCACCAGTGGTATTCAACATTTCTAATATCACGATTGCTAGCGAATATTTTATATAAAATGATTTTCTACCCATTCATCTAGCACACAAGGATTTATCAAAATTTAAGAACTATTACGAAATAATATCCGACCACAAAGAAATAGTTCGCAGCGTAATGAGTTTACAGGGCGCAATTCTTGCAGCAAAAGATGACATATCTCAAATCAGTAATGTATGTTTGCTTTATTTTTCTATATTTTAACTAACTGTAATACTTACCTTTATGTTATAGACGTATTTACGGTATTCTTACATATGGAGTGAAGACAGAAATAAAATGGTCCAGAGTTTCGTTGACTCTGAACCAATTGCTCAAGAAATTAAGGAAAGATTTATAGAATATGACGAGTTAGTTGATGAAATTCAAAAATTACCGGAGAAACATATAGTTGGACCGATAGAAATTTGTATGGGTAATTAATTGGTGTACCTTCATTACTTTTTCAATGATCTCTTTTTCTAATTGGCTTAACGTGTTTCAGAGAAATTAAAGTTAGCACTCTTAGTTGAAGCACGTACGTGGAAAACATTGTTAGGCCAAATGTTATCCTCCACATATAAAGAAAAATTAAAAAGGATTACCGAGTATATCAATGATAAGAATAAAGTTCTTGCAAGGGAGATAAAAGATTTGGAAGATGTAAGGGTTGCCATGAAATGTTTGGCCGAAATACGGGACGATTTTATATCGTTAGACATAGAATTAATTTTGATAGACGAGACATATAGTTTAATGGCAAAATTTAACATCCCCGTGTCGAAAGAGGAACAAGAAATCGTAGACAGTTTACGATACAATTTTACAAATATGTTGAATACGGTATTATCCATAAAAATCAACGTTATATCATTTTGCATCATTATGTGTAATCAAATTTTGTACATTATAAGGCTAAACAAGTACAAGCAAAAATATGCGAAATGCAAGAACCACTGAAGAAAGAATTAACGGACGGTGTCGCAGTTTTGAAACAGAATGTGATTGATTTCGATCTTGATTTTGAGCTAAATGGTCCCATGGTTGAGGGCATACCAGCTAAAGAAGCAAGTGATCGGTACGATTACGTAACTATATTATTTATGATAAACGATTGATCATTTTCTTTTGTTTTTTAGACTAATCTTATTTCAAGGTCGCTTGGAAGAGCTGTGGGAAAGGTACGAGACTTACAGTAGCGGAGAGAGTTTATTTGGTATCGAGCTGACAGAATATCCAGCTCTTCATCAGAGGAAGAGGGAAATAAATTTATTACAGAAATTATATGGCTTATATTTGCAAGTGATACGAACTATTGATAGTTACTATGAAATACCTTGGTCCGAAATTGATATCGAGTCTATAGTCACCGAATTAGCTGAATTTCAGAATAGGTGCATTTATATCGTTACTTCTTTCCTTGCGTATTAGCATGGTATTAATTGCGTCTTGTATTTCAGATGTCGGAGATTACCAAAAGCTATGACAGACTGGCCAGCATATATCGAATTAAAAAAGAAGATCGATGACTTCAATGAGACTTGTCCGCTGTTAGAATTGATGGCGAATAAGGCTATGCAAGAAAGACACTGGGAAAGAATGTCAAAACTGTGTAAATATCCCTTTGACGTGGAATCAGAAACCTTCACATTGGCAAACGTCATGGAGGCACCTCTGTTGAAATACAAAGACGATGTTGAGGTATGATTGTAACCAATATTTGAAACGCGAATACTTTCATCCCTTTCATCGCTCTTCTAACAGGATATATGCATCAGTGCGGTAAAAGAGCAAGACATAGAAAGTAAATTAAAACAAATTATCGCAGAATGGTCTGTTGTAAATCTACAATTCGCTCCGTTTAAACAACGAGGAGAATTACTTCTGAAAGGTACCGAAACGCACGAGATAGTATCTCACCTGGAGGACAGCTTGATGGTGATCAGCTCACTTTTAGCAAATCGGTATCGAGTCCTATTTACACATAGTCAAAGTATCTTTAATTCATGAAAGAAGAAAGAAATAAACCTTGGGTGTTCCATTTAGATACAATACGCCTTTTAAAAGAGATATCCAACTGTGGCAAAGTAAACTCAGCAACACCTCCGAAATCTTAGGAAGATGGTTGAACGTGCAAAACTTATGGGCTTATTTGGAAGCAGTATTTATCGGTGGCGATATATCGAAGCAGTTACCAGCAGAAGCAAAACGTTTTAATGTAATAAGAAGCTTTAACTCGCAAATCAAAGTCGTATTTGATACGTAGCATGTAATCTTTTAGAACATCGATAAAGCTTGGGTGAAAATTATGTACCGAGCACGCGAAAAATTGAACGCGGTGGAAACGTGTACAGGCGATGAAACCATGGGGCAATTTTTGCCGCATCTACTAGAACAATTGGAGTCTTGTCAGAAGTCGCTCAGCGGGTATATATTTTTAGGTTTTTGGCTAAATTTTATTCTAATTAGTTCAATATCTGCACAGGTATTTGGAAACGAAGAGAAGTGTATTCCCAAGATTTTGTTTCATATCAGATCCTACGTTACTGGAAATACTCGGTCAAGCAGCCGATTGTCATACTATACAGAATTATTTGGATGGATTCTTCGACAATGTAGCGAAGGTAATGGATTTTTGTTATTATTTTTTTATTGGTTTCTGTAACAATTCCTCCACTTACAGTTCGACTTTTCCGAAAAAGAATACGAGAGGATTCTAGCCATGTACTCGCGTGAGAACGAAAAGGTGGTGTTAGAGAAGGACGTTGTGTGTACAGGAGGTGTAGAAAACTGGCTAAACACTTTGTTAGCAGTGCATCAGTTTTCTGTAGGCTGCGTAATTGCGCAAGGCTTGCTGACAATGGACAACGAAGACTTTGATATCATACAGTTGATAGACAACTCAATTTTACAAGTATACAAGCGACTCTCCTTTCTTCTATGGAGACCCCTAAATGCTACTGTCTTTTAGGTGGGTTTGTTAGCCTTGCAAGTCCTGTGGACACGGGATGCTGAGGTGGCATTACGAACAGCGAAACGGGATAGAGGAATAATGAAGAGGACAAACGAATGGTTTTTGGACTTGTTAAACAGCCTCATTGAAGTTACAGTTAAAGATTTAACAAAATACGCGAGAGCGAAATACGAGGCTTTGATTACGATTCACGTGCACCAGAGGTTGAACATTAATAAGTAGTCTTCGAAAAGTAACGTCATAAATTCGTATAAAATTTTACAGAGACATATTCGATGAGTTGTTCCGCCACAGAGTCCGCAACGTACAGGATTTCGAGTGGTTGAAGCAGAGCAGATTTTATTATAATCCAGATACGGAAGAAATTCCCATTCAAATCACGGACATCGATTTTATTTATCAAAATGAATTTCTAGGATGCACTGATCGACTTGCTATTACACCTCTTACAGACAGATGTTACATAACCTTGGCTCAAGCCGTAGGTGAGATCCTTATAAGCTGCGGCATGCAAGACGTTCATAAAATAATTCTCCTGTATGTATAGGTATGAATTTTGGAGGTGCACCTGCAGGTCCAGCTGGTACTGGAAAGACAGAGACCACGAAAGATATGGGAAAGGCACTGGGAAAATACGTAGTCGTATTTAATTGTTCTGATCAAATGGATTTCCGTGGTTTAGGAAGAATATTTAAGGGATTAGCTATGGCTGGAATATGGGGTTGTTTCGATGAGTTCAACCGAATCGATTTACCTGTCTTATCAGTGGCTGCTCAGCAAATAGCCATTGTACTTACTGCCAGGAAGGAAAGAAGAAATCAGTTCCTTTTTAGGTATCAGATATACCAATTTAATTAATATTTTTTACATTGACCTATATTTTTACCTAAACAGCGACGGTGAAACATATTATTTGAGTTACGAGTTTGGAATTTTCATTACGATGAACCCTGGCTACGCTGGCCGTCAGGAATTGCCAGAAAATTTAAAGATACAATTCAGAAGTGTGGCTATGATGGTCCCTGACAGACAAGTACAGTATTATTAATTATTTTTTAAACGCGATTTTGATAATGCTTCAATTGTAGATAATCATGCGCGTCAAACTGGCAGCCTGCGGCTTCAAAGAAAACGTTTTACTCTCACGGAAGTTCTTTACGTTGTACAAGTTGTGCGAGGAGCAGCTTAGCAAACAAGTGCATTACGATTTTGGTTTGAGAAACATATTGTCCTGTCTGAGAACTCTTGGCGCTCAGAAACGAGCAAATCCCACTGATTCTGAAGAAACTACACTTATGAGAGTTTTGAGGTAAAATCGACAGAGTTTTTTGAATAAAAAAAATATAAGATTATGTTCTCATATTTCAGAGACATGAATCTGTCGAAGTTAGTGGACGAAGACGAACCTCTGTTCATGTCCTTGATCGAAGATATGTTCCCAGGCATCAGACTCAGAGTTCAAACATACAAAGACTTGCAAAAGGCAATTACAAACGCAACTGCTGCACTTGGTATAATGAATCATGCCGAGTGGAATTTAAAAGTTGTTCAAGTACGTTTCGCTATTTAATTTTTAATTGGTGCAGAACGATATTCTTCTTTATTCTTAGCTTTACGAAACCTCTCTTGTGCGGCATGGTCTGATGGTGCTTGGACCAACGGGATCTGGAAAAACACAGTGTATGTGGGCGCTTATGAAAGCCATGACGGAAATGGGTATGCCACACAAGGAAGTCAGGATGAATCCAAAAGTTAGTCGATTAAATAAATATTCGATATCAAAAATATACAAGTGGAAATTTCTTGCAGGCCATAACCGCAGCTCAAATGTTTGGAAGGCTCGATGTGGCAACAAATGACTGGACAGACGGAATATTCTCCACCATATGGAGAAGATCTACGCACATAAAAAAAACTGATAACTTATGGATGGTCCTGGACGGACCTGTAGACGCAGTGTGGATCGAGAACTTAAATTCTGTCTTGGACGACAATAAAACATTAACTCTGGCAAATGGTGATCGTATTATCATGGCACCGAACACTAAATTAGTTTTCGAGCCCGATAACGTTGACAATGCATCGCCGGCTACGATATCACGCATGGGGATGGTGTTCCTGAGCGCTTCTGTATTAAAATGGAGTCCTATTTTAGAGGTACATTTCGTTGAGACTCAGAAATATCAATGTTACAATAAATAATATGAATTTTGTTTGATTTTAGGCATGGTTCAAAAAGCGACCACAAGCGGAAGCAGATGTATTGCGTGTTTACTTTAACAAAATATACGATGATGCTCATACGTTTGTTCAAACAAAACTTCCAGTAAAAATGGTCCTTTTAGAAGCAATTTACATAAGACAATGTATAGATTTATTGGAGGGTTTACTTGGCAAGAGCACCGGCCATGATGCAAGTATGTTCTTCTCTTCTAACTGCGAATTATTATACATACAGTTTATCTGTCATGCACTGTTTTCAGAAGTATTAAAAGATTCTCATATCGAGAAGTTATTCTTGTTTTCCGTTATGTGGAGTTTGGGAGCGGTGTTAGAATTAGAAGAACGTAACATGTTGCAGGAGTTCTGTGTCAGTCATGAATCGAAATGTCGTTGGCCACAGTGTGAGGTAATAATGTAACTATTAATAAAGAAATATTTGTAATAACGAAGCTGATTGTAGGAAGATGAAACTATCTTTGAGTATTTGGTGTCAGACGAGGGACGCTGGATACATTGGTCCCAGAAGGTCCCAGAATTTATCTATCCATCGGACGAAGTTCTACCATATCATACAATTTTGGTTCCCAACATAGATAACACAAGAACTTTGTTTTTAATGGATACTATTGCAAAACAGCGGAAGGCGGTGCTACTGATAGGTACATAGCTTAATTATAATTTATTTCAATTCTTCAAATTCTATGAACATTCTAGGAGAACAGGGTACCGCAAAGACGGTAATGATCAAAGGTTACATGTCCCACTACGATCCTGAAGAACACTTGCATAACTCCTTCAGTTTTTCTTCAGCTTCTACACCTAACATGGTTCAGGTAAGTTCTAAACATAATTCAGTCATTAAAATATACTGAATTTTAAATTAACTGGAATATGTATTTTATGTAGCGTGTGTTTGAGAGCTACGTGGAGAAAAGAGTCGGTAACACTTATGGGCCCCCTGGTAGTCGCAGAATGACAATTTTCATCGACGATATAAACATGCCAGAAATAAATGAATGGGGTGATCAAATTACGAACGAGATTGTCCGCCAGTTGATGGAATATGGAGGCTTCTACTCTTTGGAGAAACCGGGAGATTTTAGTATCATTCAGGATATTCAACTGGTTGCTGCCATGATTCACCCGGGTGGTGGTAGAAATGACATTCCGCCGAGGTTGAAGAGACAGTTCAATATCTTTAATTGTACCTTACCATCGAATAAATCGATGGATACAATTTTCAGTAAGCGCACGGTATAAGAGAATGTTCCAATGTATCTTGATTATACTAATAGTTTGTTAATTTCAAGGAAGCATCGGTGAAGGATACTTCTGCCCCTCCAGATTTGAAGAAATCATTGTGGAATTTTTACCTAAATTGATACCTTTGACCAGAGTATTATGGCAGCAGACCAAATTGAAAATGCTACCAACACCAGCAAAGTTTCATTACGTTTTCAATCTCAGAGATTTGTCTCGAATTTGGGAAGGTATACTCAGAATCGAGAGAGCCGAATGCGATTCTATAACTCGATTATTGAAACTCTGGGAACACGAGTGCACTCGTGTGATTGCTGACCGGTTGGTTATATTAATCTGTTTATTAAATCAGCAGAAAGTAACTTTCATTATTTGCTAGATTTATAACGAGCGAAGATACAGAGTGGTTCAAAAACACTCTGAAACGTACAGCTGAAAAGATATTAAGTCCTGATGATTTTCAACATTACGACGACTCTGAAACTTATTTCGTTAACTTCTTGCGCGAGCCTCCAGAAGCCACGGGGGATGAGCCAGAAGACTTCGTATTCGAAGCACCAAAAATATACGAAGAAATACCAAGGTATAATTTAGTCACTGCTGGAACTAGGTAGAAGGGTAAAGTTTTATAATGCAGATTGGTTATTCAAGTAGAACTAGTGAATCTGGTTTTCTCCGAATAAAAATTCTAGTCATGTCGAGTTTTCTTCAATTTGTTCTTTTTATAGTTTCGAAGTTGTGATTGCAAAACTCCATCAGAACATGGATCAATTCAATGAGTACATTCGCGGAATGGAGTTGGATTTGGTTTTCTTCCACGATGCACTCGTACATTTGATTCGTATATCGAGAATCCTTGGTGTCCCAAGAAGCAACGGGATGCTAGTGGGTGTTGGAGGATCAGGCAAACAGAGTCTGACACGTTTGGCTTCTTTTATTGCTGGATTTGACTTCTTCCAGATAACGTTATCCAGGTAATTTCTGGCGAGCTATCTGCTCTCGAGCAGCCTAATTAACTATTAGATGACAGCTAACACGAGCATGTGTCTTTAGGAGCTACAATGTTGGGAGTTTAATAGAGGATCTGAGGAAGATTTATCATGCGGCTGGCACAGGGAGTAAAGGGCAGACGTTTATATTCACTGATAATGAGATAAAAGAGGAAGGTTTCCTAGAATACATCAACAATATTTTAAGCGTTGGGGAAGTTGCAAATCTCTTTCCTGCTGATGAGCTGGATGAAGTGTTAACGGAAGCCACTCCGCTGATGAAGGTCGACGATCCAAAGTGTCCACCGACTCCGGATAATCTTTATCGTTATTTCATTTCGCGCGCACGGAATCAATTACACCTGATCCTCTGCTTCTCACCAGTCAGCAGTTTTTGATGACGTTATTCGAAACGAATAAAAAGTATTAGAAACTTTATCGAGCAATTTTAATAGGTCGGAGAAAAGTTTCGGTCTAGAGCATTAAAGTTCCCTGCTCTCATATCTGGCTGCACGATTAACTGGTTTTGGAGATGGCCAAGAGATGCATTATACGAAGTGAGCAATCACTTCTTGGAGAAGTATAAGGTGATATGTACTCCAGAAGTAAAGCGTCAGTTAGTTGAAGTTATGGGAGACATGCAAGATGACGTTAACGATACTTGTACAAAATATTTTGATAGGTAATATTATATTCGGTTATTGAATTTAATTTTTATGTGTACATGTATATATATGTATTTTTATCCAGATTTCGGAGAGAGACATACGTTACCCCAAAAACATTCCTCACATTTTTGGCTGGGTACAAGATACTTTACAAGCAACGTTTGGACAATATTAACATGCTTGCATTCCGTATGAGTAGTGGTTTGAACAAATTAGTGGATGCCGCGGCTCAAGTAGATGAGTTGCGGAAGGTTTTGGAAAAGAATCAGGAGGAAATTGCGGTGAAGAACGTACAAGTGGAAGCTGTCAGTATATTTCTTCATTAGTAAATTAAATTCAATTACTTCATTAGACACTGGTTATCTTAAACACGCTATTTGCAGATTTTAGTCACTGTCAATGAGAAGAAAAGAGAAGCCGAGACAGTGAAAGCACAAGTTCAAGTTTCCAAAGACGAAGCTGAAGCCATTTTGAAAGTAATCTCGAAAGAGAAGTCCGTAGCGGAACAGAAATTAAAAGCTGCCGAACCCGCGTTGCTCGCAGCAGAGGCTGCATTACAAGTGAGAGTTTAATGATTATAATATTTTAACAACGTGTTGCATTTGCTAAGCCTGTTGGAATAATATTCTTAGACTATAAAAGCTGCTGACATTGCCACAGTTCGAAAATTAGGAAAACCACCATACTTAATTACGCTTATAATGGACTGTGTTATAATATTATTTGGAAGGAAGTTGGATCCAGTCAAACCTGACTACGAACGAGAATTTTTAATGCCCTCTTGGACGGAAGCTTTAAAAGTATCATCTGTTTCCAAATTAATTAACAGTTTAAAACTCTTCACTTATGTCTAAAGTTGTACGTTGTTTGAAGGTGTTGGCTGATACTAGGTTTCTGTATAATCTGCAAAATTATCCAAAGGACAACATCAATGCAGAGACCGTTGATTTAATGCAACCCTATCTAAATTATCACTTGTACACCTATGAGGCTGCAAAACAAGCTTGTGGCAACGTTGCTGGACTTATTCAGTGGACCATTTCAATGGTTACATTCTACGGGATAAATAAAGATGTTCTTCCATTGAAGGTAACATTTATTTAGGAAATGGTATCTTATAAATGATGTTCATAATTAATCTTGTTAATCGTAGGCAAACTTAGCTGTTCAAGAAAGCAAGTACGAGAAAGCGAATCGAAATTTGAGGGAAGCTGAGGCAGTCCTGAAAGCCAAAGATGAAGATCTGAAAGTGGTACAACAAGAATATGATGCGGTGATGGAAGAGCGTCAGGTAATTCACTGCACAGAGTAGCCGACGTAATTAGATAAATAATAGACGCAATTAATATTCGATGAAATTTTTTTAGAAAATAGTTGATTTGGCTGAAATTTGCCAAGCGAAAACAAACACTGCTACTGCTATGATCGATGGTCTTTCGGGTGAGAGGGTCAGATGGACCGAACAATTGGCTATGTTTAAATCTGAAACTGATCGTCTTGTCGGAGACGTTTTGATTCTAGTTGGTTTTCTGACTTATTGCGGACCATTTAATCAGGAATTCAGGAACCTGTTACAACGACAGTGGTTCGACTTCATTCAACAAAGAAAAATACCTGTTTCCCTCACAATTAATATTACTACTTCTTTAACCGACACTGCTACGGTAAGTAATGTTAAATACATAGCAACAGTGATAACTTATAAAATGGTATTTCTTCTTAAAGATCGGAGAATGGAGTCTGCAGGGTCTACCAACAGACGACTTGTCCATTCAAAATGGAATCATAGTAACAAGAGCTAACAGATATCCTCTGTTAATAGATCCGCAATTACAGGGCAAAGCGTGGATCAAGAACAAAGAGGAAGACTTTAATTTACAGGTAGATTTTTAATCTGATGGGTATTAAAACAAGTTATTTATTTCGTAATGTTTTTCAGGTTACAATTCTACAACATAAATATTTTAGAAATCATTTAGAAGATTGTGTTTCCCTTGGTCGTCCTTTGCTCATCGAAAATGTTGAAGAGGAGTTAGATCCTGTGTTAGATAATTTGCTTGAAAAGAATTTCATAAAGATGGGAACTTCTTTAAAGGTAATAAGTATGCTCATATTGTGAAATATGTATAAATTGATTTTTTCAACAGGTTAAATTAGGCGACAAAGAGGTAGATTATCATAAGGATTTCAGGCTTTATATCACCACAAAATTGCCAAACCCATCATACACCCCAGAGATATTTGCACGTGCTGCTATAATTGATTTCACTGTTACAATAAAAGGTAATAATGACTATATATTATTCTTCCTTTTAGATGTACGTATCTAATTATTTTTATTTGTAGGTTTAGAAGATCAATTACTAGGAAGAGTAATATTAACTGAAAAGAACGAACTGGAGACGGAGAAGACACAGTTGATAGCAGATGTAACTGCAAATAACAGAAAGATCAAAGAACTCGAAGCAAATCTCTTACACAAATTAACCACTGTCGAGGTATTTTAAACTGTGTTACGATCCTTTGAATTGAAAATATCAACTTTAATTTCGTTTAGGGTCCTTTAATAGAAGACGTAGAATTAATGTCGGTATTGAATACCACAAAACAAACGGCAGCTGAAATAAACGAGAAGCTAAATATTGCAAAAGACACGGAATTAAGAATCGACACTGCGAGAGAGGAATTTAGGCCTGTCGCAACGCGTGGCAGTGTATTGTACTTTTTAATTTGCGACATGGCTCTAGTCAATTCCATGTACCAAACCTCGCTCGTGCAATTTTTGGAACGTTTCGACATTTCAATGGAAAGGTATGTCCCTTGTTCAATTAATTCGAATTGGATTAAAAAATGTTTCCCTGTCGTAGATCCGAAAAGAGCCCCGTCAATCAGAGAAGAATAACTTACATCATCGAATATCTTACCTTTGAAATATTCAGATACAAAGCAAGGGGTCTTTATCAGATCCACAAATTTATGTTCAGCTTGTTAATGACGCTGAAGATTGACCTGCAACGCGAAGCTATTTCGTATAATGAATTTCAGTATTTCATCAAAGGCGGTGCAGCTCTAGATTTAAATACTGTTGCGCCAAAACCCTGCAAATGGATTTCAGATATCACTTGGCTTAATTTAGTTGCCCTCTCCTCTTTGGCGCAATTTCAATATATCCTTTCTCAGGTACCAGCTTCTGAGAAAGTTTGGAAAAGTTGGTTCGATAAACCGGCGCCAGAAGAGGAAGCGATACCAAACGGCTATAATAATATGGATACCTTTCGAAAATTGTTGTTAATAAGGTTGTTTTAAATTTGTGGCACAGTACTTAGAATGATCACTACAAAATTCTTACGATTTGTAGAGCTTGGTGCATCGATAGAACATTATCGCAGTCACGCAAGTACATAGCAAGTTCTCTGGGAGATAAATATGCGGCACCTGTTATCACCCGTTTGGATGTAATGCACGGTGAATCGAGGCCAGACACGCCGATGATTTGCTTCTTAAGCATGGGATCGGATCCAACGCCTAGCATCGAACAACTTGCGAAAAAAATGGAGATTCAATGCAAAAGTATCTCGATGGGTCAGGGACAAGAAGTTCATGCACGGAGATTGCTTCAAAGTGCAAAAACCGAAGTTTGTTTGGACTAATACTATAACTCCATGTATATACAAAATAGCTATTATAAATTTAAGCAACCTTTAATGAACGTTTCAGGGATATTGGGCCTTGTGCCAAAATTGTCACTTAGGTTTAGAATACATGGAAGAGTTAGTCCTTTTTATCTTGGACATGGAAGACCCAGACCCCAATTTCCGCATATGGATTACCACCGAACCTCATAAACATTTTCCAATATCTCTGCTTCAGATGTCCATAAAATATACTTTTGAACCTCCACAAGGTATCCATCTTTTTCAAAATTATACTTTGTGTTACTAATACGTTTAATTGTAGGAGTAAAAGCCGGCTTGATGGCTACATATGGTATCATGAACCAAGAAATGTTAGATCAGTGTGACGCTCCACAGTATATACCAATTATATATACAGTGTCATTTTTGCACACTATCGTACAAGAGCGACGAAAATTTGGACCCCTGGGTTGGAATATACCGTACGAATTTAATTTAGCCGATTGGCTAGCATCCTGTATGTTCATTAACAATCATTTGAATGATTTTGACATAAAACAAGGAATTAGTTGGCAAACTGTTAGGTAAATTGGCCACTTGAAATTGGTTAAATAACTTAGTTTTTAAATTGGTCCTTAATTTGTAGATATATGATAGGAGAGGTACAATATGGAGGACGTGTTACGGATGATTACGACAAACGATTGTTAAACACATTTACCAAGTTTTGGTTTTCTGAGGCTCTATTTTCAGAAGAGTTTATGTTCTATAAAGGATATCCAGTGGTTGTCCAGAAGCAAGTTACAGATTACTTGAAGGTAATAGAAGAAATGGCTCCTGTAGACCCACCACAAGTTTATGGCCTGCATCCTAATGCAGACATTACGTAAGTAGTTTTTTTTCAGTTTAGTTATCTGCATTACTGAAAGGATGAACATGATCATAGGTATCAAGCAAATACTACACAAACTGTCTTAGACACAATAATATCTGTGCAACCAAAAGAAGCAGGCGCTGAAGGTGGCGAATCGAGAGAAGCAGTTGTGGCTAGACAATCAAAAGAGATGTTACAAAAGATACCGGAACCTTATGACCCATTTGAAGTAAAATATAGGTCCGTATTAAAAAATATCTCATCTGTTTTATTCGTTAACTCAAGTTACTTTATTGTAGATTGCAGATATTAGGTACTACTGCACCAATGAGTATTTTCTTGAAACAAGAAATTGATAGAATAGAAGTGGTTATTGAACTGGTATATGCTATGTTAAAGAACCTTTTACTTGCAATAGAAGGTGTTATAATAATGAATGAGGTAATATTCATATAATTATTATATTTAAGAACAGCAAAAAATTAAGCATGTAAATATATCTAGGAATTGAGGGACGCTTTTGACAACATATTTGATGCAAGAATACCTAAAGCTTGGAAAGCTAAATCATGGGAATCTTCCACTCTTGGATTTTGGTTTACCGAATTATTAGACAGAGATAAACAGTTTCGTACTTGGTTATATAGTGGAAGACCAGCTAAATTCTGGATGACAGGATTTTTTAATCCTCAAGGTAATCACTTAGATAACAGTACAATATAACTCAACATTTATAACTTTTATTACATAGGTTTTCTTACCGCAATGCGGCAAGAGGTAACACGAGCTCATAAAGGATGGGCTCTTGACAATGTTACATTGCATAATGAAGTTCTACGGTACACGGCAGAAGAAATAAAGACTCCACCTCAAGTATGTTCTCCTTAAATTTACAATAATATATACAATAATAACTTTACGATATATTTTAGGAGGGAGTATTCGTATATGGATTATATCTTGAAGGAGCTGGTTGGGATAAAAGGAACAATATATTATGTGAATCAGCTAATAAAGTTCTATACGTCTTAATGCCTGTGATTCACATTTTTGCTTTGTACAACATTCCTGATAAAGATCCAAAATTATATCAGGTACATACATGTGTAATTATTTGTGTTTATTAACTTTATTAACGTTGTATCTATTTTACAGTGTCCAGTATACAAAAAGCCGATGAGAACGTATGTCTTACTGATAACACCGCTATGGTTACAAACAAGAAGACCTCCTGACTTTTGGATCATACGCGGAGTTGCGCTACTATGTGATATTAAATAATTTAATCCTATATCTATATCGATCTATTCTAAATTTATATACATTTAGTTACAATAAATAGTATCAACTACATAAATGCTTTCAGTAACTACAAGTAACAATTATATTATCACGTAATTAAAATATTGTGCGTGATAATAATTCGCGCGTATATATCGAAAATATTACGCGCGGAATTTGAATGGAACACGTAGCGCCCTCTGGCGGCAGAAATAGGAACTAACGAAGCCGCTGTTTCAAATGCGTGTAGTTCACCCTGTTTGTTGAAGAGATGGCGCCACCGGTTTTAGTTCCTAGTTCTGCCGATAGATGGCGTCAGATGTATCATTTTATTTCTTATGAAGCGCCGGCTTCAAAACATGAAACTCTCAATGATTTTTCTGTGCAGTAACGATAACGTTATCAATTATTTTTATTATGCAGCATGCCAGTTTTCGTTCAAAAAATATTTTATCAGAATATTGACGCAGTTTTCTTTATCTCTGAAACTATTTTGATAAGGATATATTTAATTATGAATAAAGTATCAGGTCAAGAGGAATCACTCTGGTTTTCCATTACTTCAGACGATCTGATCTGTCTTAAAGTAACTTGTCCTTTTAGAATCTTTCTTCTCTTATTCTTACCGAACACAGAAGAAACAATCAGTAAGAAATGATCGCAGTAACTCGAACGCTAACCAATCCAGTTGTTCGATCCTGCTCAGATTTCCACGTTCCCCGACATTCCCAACCAAATAACCGTTAAACCAACGATTCGTGTGTCTTTAACCGTTTCTCGTTTCTACAAACTGCTCTATATTTCCGAGCAACGGAGCCTGGAGTCGTCTACGACCGTAGCTCGACGTTGATTGTGGTTCGAGCGTGTTTCGACTCGGTTTTCGCTGCAAAATATCTCGGACGGCCCATGTCCGAGGACATCCTCTCGAGTTTTATCCTTTTAGCGAATCGTGCCGTTCCGTGTACGCCATAAATCTCGGTTGACTAGGGATGTTCGGTGTACCAGGACAAAGTTACGTATGCAGGGCAGGCAAAGTCTCGTAACAACTATTCTTACTGACCTTCTTGCTCGTGCAGGGAGACCCTATCGTTCGAAAGTTCACGCTTCGAATGGTCACTTCGAAGGCTGACACTCAGTTGTAAAGTAGTTCAACTACTTTTGCTGATTTTTGCAGTGGACATTGCGAGTTGCGTAAGCTTCGGTCTGGGCAACGGTAGTTGGGCACTTAAAGGGTAAATTAGGCTCCCTCATCCGATCTGTCTGGGACTCTACTAGGACTCCATATTTTTGGAAGATTTCAATTGCGATATATCAAATTAAATGCTCAACAACGTGTCAGCCAGAATGAACACGTTCGAATACCCTTGTAAGCGACTGTACGTGTCTGGTCAGGAAAGGGTTAATGGTTTCTGACATACTGTTTACCACGGGCAAGGAAAAGCGCCGGGTGCCCAAGCCTGTCCTAGTCAGATAGAGAAGTTTCTGGTTGTGGTGTGCGGTCACCAAACACGTTCTCGCGTATGCGATCCCGAGGGACACGAACTGGTCTCGTCGGTTCGAGGTATGCCCGGGACACGCTATAATCGGTCTCGGCGAATGTATACGCGGGCAAACGGATGCACGTGTGCGTGGCGACAGCACGCAGGCCACAAGCAGCGCGCGCTTGCGAGGAATCATCACGCCGACCAGCGTGCCACGGTTCGTCAAAGCAAATCCCTGAATGCCCGTGGTCTAAATAGTTAAGCCAGATACCCATCTAGACTCGATGAAACTTTGCGAACTGTGCATTCGATAACTCGCTATCGGGGACCATACTTTGTGCCCTGGTCGCAGATTATAGTCCCGCTGGCGGAACTTCTCGAGTCAATAGATCATAGTTGCATCGGAACCTAACCCATTTTTAGACATATATGGAACGATATGTAGGAACTTTAACGCTGTTAGGTTGGTTCGAGAGGTAACCCAAGTGCGAGATTAATATCGACCTTTATGCAACGCACTGCCGTGATACCGCTAGTATTCTTTCCCTCCTTTATTGCTCAACTGGGGAGGTTCATTTCGTGGCAAGCAGAAATTGTTGGTACGGGTCGAAACAGGTCGACCAAACGTCCTCCCAGCCGAGATTCGCGATACCTTGTTCGATAAAGAGCCGCGTGAAGTCGGCGACGGCTTTTGTAAGCCGACCAAGCCGTCGGCAAAAGGGTAACACGCGTCAAAGACGTATTCACGGTTGTCTTCGTTCCCGTTGTCGGCGAGAAAATTGCGACGAGACAGAGGCTGAAACTGGGGAGAGGGCATAGAGAAACGGAAGCAGAGAGACTCCGCGACGAAAAGGGGGAGCACAACGAAACAGTACGGGTGTCCACGATACGCGGACCATTAGCGGATATATTCGAGTGCACGCATTAAACGAGCAGTCTACTACGGCGTTGCAGGTAGGTGTAAATGCGCAAGAGGCAAACGTTTTCCCACGGCACCCTTCCGTTGCGTTCCGTTGCGTTGCGTCGATATTGCGCCCCGGTTCGCCAACGAGTGAGCACCGGTTGCAAAATTATCCGATGTACTCTGCTCGTATCGAAACTTTGGATATCACCCGACGTTGCTCTATGGGGGCAGAGACGTGCACGGCAGGCTGGTTTGTACGGCAGAACGGTTGAATAGAAACGTTCCCTGAGAGATTTCGTGATAGAGGGTAACGCATTCATTCGGTTCTGCCGAACTCGCCGTTTCTATGGGACTTTTGTGATTGATAACGAACGAAACGCTGGCGAAAAAAGCTACGAGGGGGTGGGGACAGAGGATTGATGCAGATTGAAGTTTACCAATGGCTTTTTTATTTGTTTCTTTCTTTGACTCGTTAGGTAAGATTAAATTTTTGTTCCTGTTAATAGAACTTTCACGAGAGCTTTGTAAGATTTAGATTGCATCGAAGAAGTACGTAATTAATTCGAAAGTTTTTATCGTTCGTCGAGGCGATTCGAGTGTCCCCGTCGCAAAAGTGCACCCTTGGCCCCGTTACATGGGTGCCAGACTAATCAGATTAGGATCCGATGGGCAGCACGGTCAACGACACTGGCAGAAGCGTCGTGTCACCTCCATCCACAGGTGGCCAATTAATTTACAAGCGCACACACTTTACGTGACATCGATTGATATTCCCCTCTCTTAGCACGGAATCAACCCCTTCGGCCTAACAGCGCAGCTTGGCCCTCACCCTTTTCGAGTGTACCTACGAGGGTACACGTGGTCTCGACCAACCTGACAGAACTTTCAAACTGTGTCGCCCTCCTGGTGTTCGCCGAATGCATCCACCGGTTCCCTCGGATTTTCTCGATAAAGCGAACGTGACTATTCTTTCCTCGTTTAGGGTGATTTATCGTCGCCTGTTGTCCGACATGCAGAAAAATCGGGATACCAAAGACGGCAGCGTTTTCGAATTTTACTATGTAAGTACTTTACGTAACATCCTCTGCAGGACATTTATGGAGATGCTGGGAATAATTTAATATTGGTGAACACGAGGATATAAAATATAGCTACTATATTTATTTATCTCCGTTTTCCCTTCGCGAGAAGTTTCGTAAAAATCGATGAGGCAGCAGTGACGTCTTCTCGTTAGGTCGATGAAAAAAGTATCCGGAGAAACGAAATGAGCAAGAGAAATAAACGAATCCGAGATTCGCAGACTTCTTGAGCGGTTTACTGGCTGTGGTTCGCTTCTTTTCATCTCGCGAAGCAGCCGTCCGATGGATTATAGCGTTGTCCGGCTTCCAGGATGCAATTTCAGCTAGAACAGCGAATAGAAGGAGCTCGCTGGCAACGATCGTCTGACTCTCCCCCGGGATAATCCGTAAAAGCGGAAATGACCGCGCTGTTCGGAAGTTGGAGGTCGTAGCGCGGTTTCGGAGAGGATTGTCTGCGCACGAAGCCTGTCGTCGCGGGGTTGCGTTCCGGAAAATCGCAGGAACCTCTTGTCACCGGATATCGGGGCCGCCAACAAAATCGATTTCACGGCCGCGATGCGATGCGGCGAGCAACAAGTGTTCAACTGCGGGGAAAAAAGGGTGAACGTTGCGAACCTGCGAAACACGCCTTCGATAATGCGCTTTGTTTGCGATAGCTGTAATTCGACAATATTCCTGTCTCTCAGGAGGTTTGGGAAAATGGACCGCGTTTCAGAGATCGCTCTCTACTAAAATTCGCAAATTATCGAACCTTCAGTGAAGTTTTGAACCGAAGAGAAGAATAATAGCTGAAGCTTGCGAAGTGTTTTTCTACGTTTTTGAGCGTTGCTGGGAAATAAATGCAGTCCATGAACCTGTCGAAAGAAGTTAATCGAATTTCGACTTGCTTCATTCTTGGCTACGGATTGTAATTGGTGCGTCGAGAATTAATCGATTTCTAGTAGCCGGATTAACTGTGCGCCCTGGCAAATTGCTGCAACTCGGGCATCGATTAAACCGGGAATCGCGTGTCCGACGATCGCAATCGCCACCGTAATTGGAATGCGTTAGTAAAAACTTCAACCGGAATGTTCCAATCGGCCGGGATATCGAAACCGCTCGAATTTCCGTGGAGCCTTCTTGTTAACTGGCAAAGAAGCGCATCTCGTTTCGGCGCGGAAAAACGGGGGCGATCTCGTCAAAAAGCGGAATCCTTAAGTAGTTGATCCTGTTTTTTCGTTACGATGTTACGCTAGCTAGCGTCCTCCGGTTCGTCGGTCTTTTTTTTTCTCCAAGCTCGACTCGTAAAGTTCCGGGACCGTGGCTTTATTCGCGTTTTATGAAAGCCAACCCCGGGATCCGGGAGTCCTCTCTTTTTCGCGAAAAACACTGGCAAGCCTGGAGACGACGACGGCACCATCGCAGCTCGTGGTCTCGCAAATCACTCGAGTCCTCGTGCTCGTGTTACTCGACTTGCTGCGATAAAATATCGTTAAGTCTGTACCGCTAATAAGGCGAGAAGATACTCCTTTCTAAAGTGTATGATAAATTTCGTTTTACTCCGATGT